CATAAATGAAAGGAGCATATAATTTCTTTTATTGTCCTTGTTCAGTTTGGTATATGATAAAGTTTAAATTGTTATTTTACAAAATCTTCCATCGTGAAATATTTTAGAATGTACTTGAGACTTCATTTTTGTTTTCTTTTTGTTAGCCAGATCTCTCTTTTATAATCCCTGTGCTAGCCTAGAAATTTAAGCCTCTGGTTTGGTTCTGGAATAAATCCCCAAGTGGTTAGAAAACTGAATTAATCAAAGAAACTACTTTCCGTATTGGAACCAGCCCCCTAAATCCCAAAACTTTTTTTCTTACTGCTAACCAAAACAGAAATGCCAACTTTTAAAATTTTTTATAGCATCCCTCTCTTGGAATAGGGAAAAGTTATCTAAACTGTAATCTGGATCTTTAAGAAGAGTGAGGAAATAAACACCATTTGTCCAAAATGAATTTTTATGCTTTAAATTGTTTCTTAGCAGATTTAACTCATCAAGTCCTCCTCTCTCCTCCTCCAAAGATCAGAGTGAAAGTCTTTTTTCTTTCTTTTTTGGACTTGAGATTGAACGCAGGACCTTGTGCTTGTGAGGCAGGGGCAGCACCACTGAGCTAAATCTTCAGCCTGAAAGTTTCTTTTTGTTTCAGCTAATTATCTTTATTCAGGATAACTAAGCTGTGGGAGAATCAGCCTCCTGAATCAATCCTGTTCTCTAGTAGAACTACATCTATTAATGGCTGTGTTGCCTGATCAACTCAAGAAAGCCAAGGACCAGACTAGCCTGCAGCTATGCCATTAATTATGGCTGTGTGACATAAGATCAGCTACTTCCTCTTTAAGGACCAGGGTTTTCTCACCTTGAAGTTAATGTTTAGGATTGGTTGATGTCTGAGGCCCCTGTCGCTCTGTGGCTTCTTTATGATGAATGTGTCATTCACTTACAAGGGAGGTAGGTGCACCTGGAGCTTGGGAAGCCAGAGACACATTTCTCCGAGCAAATCCACTTGGAGGGTGAAATAAATGCTTGGAAAGGGCATGAGGAGCATAAAATTTAAGGCACAGGGAGTTAAATATGATCAAAGAGTATTTCTGTTCAGTTCTGAGAAGGAACGTGATTGGATCTGCTCAAAGTTCCTCTCTGTTGAGGAAGAGGATTTATACAGCGAGAGCCAGACAGAAACCTCCGTCCAGAGAACACCCTCTTCCAGTCATGGAAAACACTGGCTCTAAAATGTTTTTTCTTTGCCACTATTTTTTCTTCCATCTTTTCTCTTTACTCATATAGTATTCAGGTCACAATGCCTAGATCTCAAATGTCTTTTGATTTAACCACATTCATCTTTCTATAAAAGACAGTGATACAATTGTCATAATTATATTTTGCAAACTAAAAATAATCTTACAAAGGAGATGTTTTTTATAAGAATACGGGGAACAGTGTTTGAAATTGGGACTGTCCTAAAAGATTCTTTCCAAGGGCAAGAGAGAGCAGTTGATTTGAAAGCAGTAGTACACTTGATTGTGATGGCTTTGGGCTCCAACAGACGTTTCAGAGATGACTACCACTTGCTGAGTCTTAGCAAAATATCCAAGAATATTCGCCATTGCTGGAAGGGGAGTAAAATGCTACTCCCTTTCCTAATGACATGTCGATGTGAGGCTGGATTCCTTTTTATAGACTTCATCCCAAATGACAAACTGCAACAGATTGGGTGACAAAGTTGATAGGAGAATCCAGCCATGTTCTATGAAATTAGACTGCAGAGATCTGTAAGAGTGTAAAACACTGCTCCTCTTCTCACTAAAGAATTTGGGGGGGGGGTCCCAGGGATCGAACTCACATCCTTGTGCTTGCAAGGCAGGCAGTGGAACCACTGAGCTAAATCCCCAGCCCTAAGAATTTTTCATTTTATAAAAGCTATTTTTCATAGAAAGGTATTTAGAGTCATATGTATCAGATGTGTTACTAAATGAACTGGTAATTTTAATTGTTCAGCTTTAATATCTATTTTAGTAAAAATAACTAGATGTAATCTACATGAAGAATGTTTACGATTGTAGGCAGACCCTGACACTAAAGAGTTGGAGAACTGCTGCTTGGGAGTCAGGATCGCTGTGATAGACTCTGTCTGCACAGAGTTTACAATTAGCTTTGCAGTGTCTCACCTTCAAATAAGAGAGGACAAGTCAAGGTACCCAGATATTTGAGGAGAACCTCTAAGAGGAGCAGCAGAAGCTGAACTGATCAAGCAGAGAAGGGGGACCTCAGTCACAAACAAAGAACAAAAAAGTACAAAATCATCATCATCATCTAATCCATGGAGACAAAAGAATATTTTGTTCCCTTGAAATAAAAGCCAAAATGCAAAATATATCCAAAGAGCATTTTTTGAGAAAGAATTTCAAGGTTACTAATCTGACAGTAGAAATTTTTAAATTCAATGAAAAGGATATAAAGTAAGTTAAGATCTCTTCTTCTAAGACAGAATAGTAAACATGAAGATGGAAAATATAAGAAAAAGAATAAGGAAAATTAGAGGATCAGGCCAGAATATACAGAATGGAGTACAGTCTTCAACAATGTAGGGGAAAGCTTCAAAATTAAAATTCAGGAACGTGGTATCTCACATGATCCCATGTCCCATGGTCTTTTATATGCTTAAAAATAACCCCCCCAAAGCTTTTTTGTTTGTATTTTATTGTGTTTTGTTTACCATGTTTGAAACTAAAACTGAGAAACCATTAAAATATCAATTTATGTAATAATGATAAACCCACCACATATTTTTAAGAAAAATACTTTTATTGCTTTTTCCACTACATTTTTTGCTTGTTTCGGAATTGTTTTGCAATTTTACAGATCCCTTTACTGTCTGACTCACTAAGAAACAGCAGAATTCTCTCTGCTCCTGCTTTCCATCAATCATGTTGTCAAACATCATACAGCCCCTGGAAAAGCTCAGTGCACTCTCACAAGACAGTGGAAGGAAAAAAATCTGGTGGTGCCTCAGTATTTTTATGGAATGGTGCCTATGGGCCTCCTAAAGGAGAGGTCACTAGACCACACTTGGAGCTTAGGATCAGTTCCCAGATTGTCACACTGGCCCAGCACATGGTCAAAGACTCATCTCAAAGCCTACCATTACAGAGTTTCAGAATTACATTAGCAAAGACGGAATCCTAAAATCTTCCAAAATTTAAAAAACAAACAAAAAAAAAGTCACAACCTGGAACAGGATCACAGTGACACTAGACTCTCAATAGCAGCACTGGAATTTATGAGGTGACAGATAGCCCTCTGAATGTGACTTCCAACCAAGAATTCCATAGCCACTGACCTCAGCAGCCACTGTGAAAGGAAAACATGTTGAAAGGTGAAAAGTCTCAGAAAACTTAGCTCTCTTTATCCTTACTCAGAAAGCTACTGGATGTTGAAATCTCCCAAAGGAGGAAACCAGTAGGAAATGGGATCTGAGCAGCAGGGTGTCCGACCCAGGAGCAAAGCCAAGGCCATCATCAGACAGGGGCTGCAGAGCAGGCCCAGCAGTCTGGAGTTGAACCCAGGCAGGATGGAACAGGACACAGACCTGGGAAAGAGGCCACCAGGAAAGATAGGCAACCAGTGGCTACCTGACGTTTAGATGTAGTGGGGTGAGATTTATACTTCTGGCACACCACCTTTGGATAAATTAGTGGCATGAACTTTGAAAACAAGGAAAAATGGAGGAGTAGGAATGATAGACAATCTTAAGGTAAACATAGTGTCACAAGAAAGGAAATCATGGTATACCCACAACTAAACTGAGAATAATATTTCTGTGATCTTAAAGATGGAAATTCGGCAAGTGCAAGGACCCAAGTTCAATCCCTGGTACAAAAAAAAAAAAAAAAAAAAAAGATGTAATTTCAGGGCCAGGGATTTAGCTCAGTGGCACTGCGCCTGCCTCTCAAGCACAAGATTCTGAGTTCAATTCCCTGGCAACAACAACAACAAAAAAAAACGATGTAAGTTCAGACATTTAACCTAGTCAGATTGCAGAGTAGTTGGAGAAGATGGTAGGAAGGAAAGTTTGGGGGAATTAAGAAATAAACAATAGCTGAAACTGAAAAATAATGAAAATACATCAACTATATGCTTAGAGACCTGCTTAAGCAGGAATGCCTAAAGGGTTGAAAATGGTTCTCAGCAGTGGCCATTGAGATTGAGAAGCACAAAACAAGATTTTTCTCATAAATCCTGTATGACTATTTAACTTTTTAATTAATTATGTAATATATTGCACATTAAAATGAACACTTAACATGTTAAAATATGTATTAATTCAGTATATATGGAGTGCAGTTTCAAAATGTGCTAGCATTGACACTGAAAACAGCCTTTGGCCTAGCAATTCCACTTACAGAATTTTATTCAGAAAATTAATTGAATGAATTATGATATTAGCCACACAATGAGATATTATGCAGTTACTTAAAATAATAATACCTCTATTAAAAAGTAATGTAAATTTACACTTGAGAAAAATTTCCTCTTCTAGCAAATACTTATTTCCTTTTAAGTACAATGGCTGTCTGTTTAGAATTTTGTATGGTTAGTGTGATTTGTCATTAACTGTCTGCCCCTCCCAATGTATAGGGAGCTCCATGAGACCAGGGATCATGTCTCATTTTGTTCTCTGATTTGTTCTTAGTGTCTTAAACTGCACCAGGTATCTCAGCAGATGTTTGATGAGTGAATGAATGTGTGTAGTCAATGACAAACATCCAAAACGTCAGTATTAGGTACGGCTATCTCTGGTAGGAGAGTTACTGGTCCAACTCTTGGTTAAATCCTGGCTCCACCATGACCCTGGGTTCCTTATCCAAGCCTTGGATGCAATAAGAGACCCTCAGTTGTCCGATCATATGATTCCTTATAAATGCCATTAGAAGCATTTAAGTTTTTAAGTTAAAATGCCTTCAACCATGAGACTACAATCTAATACTGCCTGGGTTTTTTTTTTTTTTTTCCTTCAGTGAACTGCTACAAGATTTGGAAAACTGTGAAAATGACCCAGTGGCCATAGCAGAATGTTTTGTGTCCAAGGTAAGCAGGGTTCATTTTTGAGGGGCCATCCAAGGCAAATAGAGAGTATAGATTGTTTTCATTTTAGAGTTAGAAGGAATAGTTTGTTCCATATTGAAATTAGATAATAAACACTCTGGATTTTTGTTGTTGTTGTTGCTTTCAGTAGCAAAGAAAAAATACATTCTTTCTGGAAAGAGAAAGATACTAACTTTAGTAGTTCTCCTAGAACTTGTACAATAACTGGACAGTGTCACTCACCCTTTCCTAGGAAGAACTTGAAGAAGACAGTTAGAAAAATAAATACATATAACACACCACTGAAGCAGTTATAAAAATTCCTTAGATTCTAACTACTGTATGTAATATATACATGGTACTAGCCTGTACTCTATAATTATCTTTTGAGGGATAAAGAGATGCAGAATTGATTTCCTGTATCTTAAAAAATGCACTCTAATTTTCCTAAATTTTCTGTAAACTGCTCTCATTGGTTAGAAAAATACAAGAAATGAATTTGACTTTTGCTGCTTAATGGCAGTAAGTTCATGCTCTGAACTCGAAAGGAGATACTGCAACATACAGTCCTTGGCTATATTATTTTCTCAACATGCTTCCTGATATAGAGAGAATCCCATCTTAAATTGCTTTGAAAAATTCAGCTCATGTTTGGAAAACCTCTGGCAGAAATTGTTTTGCAGTCAAACTTCATGTGGTTTCTGCATAAAGGTTGGAAATGGACAAAGGTTTAAGTGAAGTTCATGAAGGGGCTTTGGGCCAACCATGAATTAGCACCTCATTTAGAGCTCTGGATTCCAATTTGAATGTAGGATGTTGTTCCAGCCCAACCTGGCCCCAGACTTGTTCCAGGGGGTCACTTCTGATGGCTGCAGAACCCTGCAGATGAGTTTGAACCCAAACATAACGCCCTGGATTTTATTGAAATGAAGTTCCCTGAAAGCAGTCAGTGGGTTTGTCTATAAACTCTCCTGACTTTCTGTGTATGACTCTGTTTGTGAGTGTGTGTGTGTGTGTGTGTGATCACTTGTAAGGTGTTTGTGCACACCAGTTTAGGCACACAAATTCTCACAAGTGACCTGTGTCATAATTGATTCTCCTAAAGAGCAGAAATTTGAAAAATAGAAAGAAAATGGATAAGGGGGAAAAGGTTGGATAGGCCAAGTATATCAAAGAAGATATGTTAAAATAACCACAGCACATAAAAAACATAGAAGCTTTCGGAAACGTTTGGCTTTTACTGGTAACTGTAATCATGAGCTGATTAAAGATGTTCCAGCATACGCTTAGCTCTGGCTTAATTATTCACATAAAAGTTTGTTTATGTGCCTCATTGCCAGCTCCCAAATCTTATTTTTCATTGTAATTTTGCCAAGTTTAATTAGAAGACCGACTTCAGCGCTCCACACGTTCACATAGAGGCCAGGAATCGCGAGGGAGGACTGGGTTCTGGCATAACCTGCTTTTCACTCAGCACCCTGAAATTTAGAAGAGGTTATGTTTTCTGAAACACCACCAGCTGCTCTGTTCAGGGAGGAATGGAAAATTGCTTTAATTGAGAGGTCATTAACAAAAGAGGCAACGCTGGAAGTTGACTTCTGCTTTTATCTGAGTCACTGGGGCTTACAAAAATTCATCTTTGACCTGGCTTATTTTTGTGGTATGTGTAGGTTAAAGAAATTCTTACCAACAAAAGGAGAATACAGAGCTGGGGAATGGCTCCTAATAGTGTGCTCGCCTCACATGTGCAAGGCCCTGAGTTCAATCCCCAGCCCTGCCAAACAACACAACAACAAAAAGCCAAGCATGGTGCCACGTGCCTGTAATCCCAGCAGCCTGGGAAGGTGAACCAGATGGATCACAAGCTTGAGACCAACCTAGTCAGCTTATGGAGACCTGATTTCAAAATTAAAAGGGCAGGGCCGGGGGTGTGGCTCAGCGGGTCTGGCACCTGCCTCACAAGTGCAAGGACCCGAGTTCAAACCCCTGGTACCAAAAAAAAAAAAAAAAAAAAAAAAAAAAAAAAAAAAGTCAGAAAATTAAAAGGGCAAGTTTGTAGCTCAGTGGTAAAGTGATCCCTAGTATCAGAACAAAACAAAAATACAGTTATGTCTTATTTACTGCTCGTGGAAGAATAAGGAGCTAGCAACTGAGGGACAGAAATAAAAGTTCATTACTGGGAAAGCCAAGCAGAGTCCCTTGGACTCTCTCCTTGCTTTTGCGCATCACTTGCACATATATGTACCTCTTTCCCTTGGCCGTGTAGAGAACCATCCAAAGGGTTACTACATGACTCCAGTGGAAACTCTTCTGGTTTATTCTTCCAAATTACACAATTCAGTGGGGTCTCTGCACGTTTCATCGTCTCTGAACTGTTTTAGAATTCTGTCTGTGTCAGACAATTGATAGCAATGCATGTGATTCTTCACCACAGATATGCAAATAAATTCTACTCCACAGAATGACAATTTCTGTACCCACCCAGCCCCACAGGAAAACCAGTTTTGTATCCATTTGTAATTTCATTTCAGTTCCTCGTTAACCTATTGTATTTTTATTTCTCTTTTGATCCAGTTGTAATATCTTTCTGCTCTTCACATTAACAGGTTAAACAAAATATTTGACAGTGTTCATTTAACATTTGCATGAAAATCATGATTCTACCCTTTTAAAGAATTATCCTTTAATGAGCACGTGTTAGTTACTACGTCCCAATATCGGATAATGTGGCCAGCCGCCTGAAAGACTCAGAAGCCATGGAAATAAAAAGATCTTAAGGAACTGGGACTATGTTCACAGCAGAAGGCAGGAACCTCATATCTATTAGCCACGCCTTTACTGTGTTTCAGGCCAGGGTAGCCATGGGCAGATGAGTAGACTTGAGTCCTGCTCACAAATAATTTTTAGTTTAGTAGGAGAGGTGGTGAGTCAGTAGTTCAACAAACACTATGTGCCAAATAAACACAAAGTGGTCTCAACCTGGAGGGGATTCCCAGCTTGGTATGGAGAGAGACACAATGAGCAGATGTCCCCCTCATTTGGTCAGGGCTTCTGGAGAGGTCAGTGCTGGGTGTGGCGGGATCCCAGAGAAGGAGCAGTTAGGCCAGCCGAAGAGCAGAAGGAAGGCTGCACAGAAGAAACAGAGCCAAAATTCGGTCCCAAAGAAGGCACAGTGGCTCTGCAGGGAGAGGATTCCAACAGAGGCCGGCAGAGAGAAGGTACCTGCAAGTCTTCAACAGCTGACTCAGCTTTCACATGCCTTGCACATACCTCCAACATGTTCTTGCAGCAAAATATTTACGTTACCTCCTTCTAGTTTCCTCCCACACTGCACATCCACGAAAGGATCTTGGGAAAGAACCTTTATTTTCATGTTCTTCCTGTTTTCCTTTAGATTCACTGGAACACAGCAAGTGCTGAGTCTTTACTGGACTTAAATGAGTTCAAGTGCATGTGGGCTCCAGGTTTGTAATAACGGACTCAGACAGTTACCGCAGGGCTCAAGAGACAGGCAATGTGATTAGAGAAATACGTTTAAAGGCCTGAGTGCTTCTACTCTTATTATTTTTAAATTAAGGTTGATATCCGTGCGCTTTTTTTTTGCCTATAAAGGTTTCTTTTGTTTCCTTGCAGAGTGAAGAGTTCCACATTTACACACAGTATTGCACAAACTACCCGAGGTACGGATCGGATCACTTTCATGTTGTTTCAAGTCAGTAAACGCAACATGGGGGGTCCTCAGGTGTCATCTGCCCTGCACTGTGCTGAGCACCATGGGGAACCACAAAACCTTCCAAGCGCAGATTGCAGGGGTCCCAGAGATTGATTGATCCCTTTGGAATTTGGGCTCCCAGCAAAGCCAGTGCAAGAAAACACCGTGAAAGATGTTGGGGGAGACCAGGAAGATTACTAGGTGTCCCCAAAGGAGAAGTAAGAGCTCCTCTTGCTTTGGGCTGCTCTCCTCATCTGTTCACCTTTGTCTACGTGTGCCTTGTTTTGGGGATCAGGAAACACGGCTAATGAGTCTGTGTAATCCAGCCTGGCAGAAAATAAGGTTCTGCTTTGCTGCGTACGATTTAGGAACTGTACAAGTTTATAGAGTTTGGGGCAAGGACTCATCACAGAAAGGTGATATGAGGAAAGGGGCCGTCATTTCACAGGGTCACTGGCTCAGTTTTGCCTACACCAGAAGGCAGCGCAAGAGGGCAGTTCAGGGAATAATCTGAACAAAACATCGACCAGTAGGTATCCAAGTTAATGGGCCACACACATGTAGGCATTTATTTATTTTTGACAAAAAGTCCAAAATGCAGAACCACCCATCCCAGAGCCTGGCGGTTGTGAGGTTCTCAGCAAGTGCTCACGCACTGCCAGCCCTGCCCATCTCCATTTGATGGGTGAAGCAGCTGAGGCTATGATAACCACAGATCCAGGAGGGCCACCTAGCTGGTGAGTGGCCCAGCCAGTTTTTGAACCAAGGTTTCTCTACCCATGGGCCTTGCGTTAATAGGTCCCTGTGAAAGCCTGTCATTCCCCCATGTCTTGGTAAGTCCCTTTTTTCTCATGCATTTGCAAGCCTAGAGTCATCTTAGGGAGCAGCCAGGAAGGAGAGCTGGGAAGATTTTACACACTCTGTGGCCAGCTTGGCGAGACAAGTCCCTCAAGAAACAGTGGGTAGGGGGATTCGCGTGGAAGAGAGGCCAGCAGGCTGATCCCCCAAATTGCTGAGGGAAAGAAGAAAGGGGCCAGGACACCCCCTTGCTCAGGAGCAGCCCCCAAAGCCAGTGTGTATTAAAGGGCCCATGAAGCTAGAGGCCCAGATTTACTTATGATAAATACTTTCCATAGCAGAATTTTACTTCTGCTCTAAATATCGGTGAGGACTTTGTGCCATGATGATTTATGTAGTTGGTAGCCAGCCATACTTTTCCCACCTTAAAAAAAAAAAAAAAAAAAAGAACAAAATCCCACAGGTAACACGAGGTTTGTCACCTGTCCTTATTTGTAGACACACATCATTTACAGTTTCACTTAAGCAATCTTCTCGCCTACATTTATTTCCACCTCCATGCTGATATCAGGAAGTCACAGGATGCTCCAACTAAATCCCATGGTCATGAAGCCCCACACCAGCTTGTGCCACTCCCTTTCAGGAGAAAACCCACTCAGAATCTGAAGAATCCACAAAATTCTGGACCCAGTGATCAGAATCTGAGTGGAGACAGGGGCTTATTGGGCGATTATTCATTATAAACCTAGTGTTTGACAAAATAGCTTCTTTATAAGAAACTTCCCAAATTACAGATTCAGATTTTGTGACTAAGAAAAGAAAGTGCAAAATCAAGGCAGCCCTTTTATACACCATTCTGCTTCAGAGTCCAGAGAAGGGCAGAGAACACATGTAAGAGTCTGTCACACACTCCGAGTTCAGGGAAAGAAGACCTGCAGGAACCTATAGGAAAGTGGCCCTCGCCTGCAGACAGTTTATATCCTTCTGAGGATCAGAACTCAGTTAAATTCTGTCATGAAATAGTATGTTGGGAAGAATAAGTACAGTAAGTATAAATTAATATAGCCCTGTGTAGCAGAAGCTACAGATGCAGGAGGTAGGAGTGATAAGCCCCATGGAGGACTGTTAAGGGTCCATGGCAGGAGAAAGGGCTCTTTATTTTGAGTCTTACTTTTGAAGAAACCTGTGTTAACAGAGAGACACTTACTTGCAAGGTGTTTGATTTTTGTGAAGGTTTGTGTGTGTTTCGGGGGGGGGGTACTTTGTTTTTGTTTGTTTTTGCAGTAGTGGGGATGAGCTTTACTCCGAAAGCCTTTACACTGGGCTATATCCCAATTCATCTTTTACTGTTTACTTTGAAACAGGATCTCACTAAGTCACTAAGTCTGAGCTCAAACTTTCAATCCTCCTTCCTCAGCTTAACCAGAGTGCTCAGTAAAGACGTTGAGTTCTGACTCAATTGTGTGGCCTTTGTAGTCATAGAGAAATATTCTCCTGTCCGCTTGTCTCTAATCAGTTTACTCTGCAGCCTGAGTTTCCCTTTCCCCGTCTTCATAAGCCAAGAACACTGGGTGTTGCAGCCCATCTGACAACGTCTCTTTCCCTGTGGAGCCAGGCTGGTGATAGTAAATGTGACCACACAGCCTGACAAGTGTTCTCTTTCTTCAGGCCAGTCACACCCCACCACGGGGTGATCTCACTGTGAAGAGGTGCGAGCCCCTCCCTCGTCCCCAGGGAGTGGCACGCCAGCCAGGGCCTTGTCCTCAGATAGCCGGTCCTGTGCCTGAGATTTTTGGGAACCTGAACTCATCAGGCTCTGAGTTACAGAGCAGGTTCTAATCCTCCAGCAACAGCTCAAGCGCCAAATGCCATGGGGCTACTGGACAGCCAGGCCTGACTCCAGAGAAAACCTAGAAAAGTTCCAATAATGGAGAGTTTTGAAATCTCATCTCCAGGGAGAAATCAATCAGTGTGAACAGATATTTGTGAAAACAGGCAGGCATTTAACTTCTTAAGGAGTCTCATTTTGATCTATCTGATTTTTTTCAATTAATCCTGAAAACATAACAATGACTTGGAGAAAAAAGGGAATGAAGTTATTTCCACATGCTTCCTTCATTTTTCCATCCTGCAGTATTGGTGATTGAACCTAAGGCCACCACACTGAACTACAAAACCAGAATTTATTTATTTATTTATTTATATGAGACAAATTCTAAGTTTCCCAGGTAAGGCTTGGACTTATGATCCTCCTGCCTCAGCCTACCAGAATGCTGGGAACACAGGTGTGCACCACCACACCCAACTCCACTGCTTTGTTCTGAGACCACAAGATTTTAATTTGCAGGTGTGTGTGACTGCCCAAGCCTATTAGTTTACTATATGTATAAGACTCAGCCATTTCCTCAAGAGGTTCTGGTGTTCTGCTTTTACCTTTGAGAGAGATGGCCTGGCAACAGAATTCTGACACATTTTCTAATGTCCCGCAGTAAGACACACTCTAAGGATTGAGACTATTTGGACTGAGGGGAAGCACTTGGAGGTAGAACGTTCAAAGACTGTAGGAGGGAAGTTCACTCCGGGAGGAGTTCTCTGAGGAGGCCCCCATGCCAGGTGTGCATTTTGTACATTATACAAAGGTGGCTACTGGAGGCAGTAACCAATGCACTGCAGGAGGCTGGATCTACTGGCAAGAAGGAACGCCTTTTCCTTGACACAAAAATGCCTACTTCTGGGTATGGTGTCACACACCTGTGATCCTAGCCCTTGGGAGGCAGAAGCAGGAGGATCATCCTGAGTTTGAGTCCAACCTGGGCTACATAGTGAGTTGAATCTCATAGCAAGACCCAGTCTTAAAAATCAAAACAGATGCCTATTCCTTACAATCTGACCTATGGCTGCAGACCTGTGTACCATGAGCATTGCATAAAGATGCCCAGATGGCGTGCAACTGGGGGCTAGAATACTACTCCGATCCCTTCTGCTAAGCCATGTGCCCTGGCCTGGAGCTCTTAGAAGGCAGAAATGTGCTGCTTAGAAGCTAGTACAGCGCCTTCTTTACCCACCCAGAGTGATGTCTTTGTGAGTGAACGCACCCCAAAGAATCCTAGTCTGGCTCTAGCTCTGTGGCTACCCTACCTGTATCTAGGCATTTACACTGACCCTGGCCTTAACAACTCAAACACCCTGTGAAACATTACACTGAGACCAAAAGCATTTGCTCCTCGTGCAGGTCAGTGGCTGTACTCACCGAGTGCATGAGGAACAAGGTACTGGCCAAGTTCTTCCGGGAACGTCAGGAAACGCTGAAACACTCGCTGCCCCTGGGATCCTACCTCCTGAAGCCTGTTCAGCGGATCCTCAAGTATCATCTCCTCTTGCATGTGAGCCTCTGCCTGCACCCAGGCACTGTCAAGGGGATGGGGTTTTCCTGTGTGGATCTGAAGTGTGGGGGAAAACATCGGGAAAGTCTGCAGACATATGGCAACACTTTCCACTCTCATAGTTTACAGCTGACTAATCTGCTTTGAGGAATTAGGGATATTTATACTCTAGGCCTGCAGCCCCATTGACCACGGCCAAGTCCAGAGATTAATTTTAGCTCGGACAGTGATAGGGCTTAGGACTGCCTCAAGCTGACAGTGGCGGTTTCAGGCAGGGAGCTATCATCCAAATGGAAAACAGATTTTTGTTTTTTTCCTGTTTTATTTCTGTGAGCTCCAACTCAGTAGGCAGTGGGGAGGAAAAGCTATTTGTCATAGATTGACTTGTGTGTGGGAGCAAAGAGAAGGGCTGAGAAGGAGAGGACAGAAGGGTAGTTTGATAAACGGTCCCTGAGCCGGGCGCAGTCCCACTTCTGGGATCTTCCTCTTGGTGTATTTTCCATTCCTTTTATACAACCCAAGGAGGCTTTAGAAAATGGAACTCTCAAATTCTCTGTTCAAATTCTCCCTCTAAGGGATCTGAGGAAAAACGGAACAAGTTTTACTGGTGGTCATTTGCATTGTGTAAATAGGATTTGCTGACCTTTGCAGCAGGGGAAGGCAGTAGAGCAATGTGGCTGGTCTGCCAGCCCCTAAATCCTACACGTTGCCCACACTCCCTGTGGCTCGTAGCCACTCAGGAAAAATCAGCTAGTGTTTGTGTGTTTCTGTTCTGTTTTGTTTGTCCCAGGAATCGAATCCAGAGCCTTCCCACTGAGCTACATCCTCAGCAGTGTTTTAAATATTTTCATTTTGAGACAGGGTCGTGCAAGTCGCTGAGTTGCCCAGGTGAGGCTCAGACTTTCAGTCCTCCTGCCTCAGCTTCCCTGGGTGTTAAGATTACAGGCTGCGTCACCACACCCAGCTTGTAGTTTGCCATTTTTATACTGCATTGAAAATCTTTTCTTAAACAGATTTTAATCTCTCTCTCTCTCAACATGCCTGGTATCTCTTTTTAAATTGGTCCAGGTTTCTAACTTGGATAGTCATTTTCAGATTTGCTTGGCAATTCTGAGCCATTTCAAAAAATTTTTAAGTCCAACTTTGCCAGAAATATCTTAGCTTTGTCTGCTTTCCTGGGAGGCTCATCTTTGAAGGATCATACAACTTCTTACACCACATCAGAGCTGTTTACTTTAATGTTTAAATTGATCCTATGACCTTTTTGATTTATTGGGCTAAATTTGCTGAATCATTATCCAAATGATTCCTAAATAATACCTACCCTAGATCAAATCTCTACTGAACTCTGTTAAAATGACATCTAAGACCTATGTTAAAAGTTTTCTGTCTTGTAATAGTGAGAACTATAGTCTCTAGAGCTACTTTATATTGGCTCAAAATTATAAGCTCTAAGATCAACTGCCATAGCCATTATAATTAAACATCTCTGCAAGGCTTACTGTTATGTTTTATCCTCTGTCCTGGAATCCTAACTGACTTTTATTATTCCTAGCCCTGTTTTTTGTTTCCATTTTACCATTTTTTGGAAGGTCTTCCTAGTGAGTAATCTCAAAATCATAAGAAATCATGATAGTACACAAAAAAATAAGCTAAAATATAAGAAAATAGTCGTAGAGGTGCCGTTTGTTTTATAATTGACTATGGTTAACAAAAAGTGGAAAGTAGGTTGTTTTTGTTTTTGTTTTTGTTTTAAGGAAATAGAAAATCACCTTGACAAGGACACAGATGGTTACGACGTGGTGCTCGATGCCATAGACACAATGCAGCGCGTGGCCTGGCACATCAACGACATGAAACGGAAGCACGAGCATGCGGTGCGGCTGCAGGTGAGCCCGGGGGTCTGGCAGGGCTGTGCCACTGTCCGAAGAGGCTATTCAGGCTGCCCATGTGTTTCCCTTCCTTCGTGGTCCTCATCATGGCTCTCCCAGAAGAAAGGTCGGGACACCCATAGCACTGATCACTGTTTAGAGTGGCCGTTATGACAGCATTACTTTGTAACTATTAAGCTAATTGTTTTATAGCTTAAACCTTTGATGACCCGGCTAAAAACTGGAGTCTCCCAAGGTCTTATCTCCTGTTAATTATAAATTAGTAATTCTTGTTGAAAATAGCTTTCCCTAAAGACCATTGAAGCCTCTGTTCCCTCTTACTAGTTCATGCGCAATGCTGAAATGGTGTATATGGCCACAGGGTCAGGAACTCAGAGAGGGGAGCAAAGGCTGAGGTAGCCCCTTTGCAGTTTTACTTGAGATGTGACTCCCACGCACATCACTTTAGTTTTCTCACCTTTGCCGGGTGTGGTGGTGCATGCCTGTAATCCCAGCACTCGGGAGGCTAAGGCAGGATGATCGCTGTGAGTTCGAGACCAGCCTGGGCTACACAGTGAGTTCCAGGTCAGTCTCAACTACATAGTGAGACCCTGTCTCAAAAAGCCAAAAAAGAAAAAAAAAATAGTTTTCTCACCTTTAAAATGAGACAGCTAATGAAAGAGTTACGGAGGTCCCATCTAGTATCAATACTGTGAGCCCTAAATCTTTAGGAAAAAAAATTGGGTGTTGGTGGGGGCACCAGGGTTTGAATTCAGGACCTTGCACTTGCACGGCAAGCATGGCACCATTAAGCTAACTCCCTGGCCCCTCAGGAAATTTTGATAGATGTTATACCAATTATCACGTCCTGAGTGCTTCAAACTGTTCCATAAATGGCCAATAAATAATAAAGAAATAACATCGCTGGCCATTAGAGAAATACAAATAAAAACAACACTGAGATTCTATCTTACTGTACAAAGAATGGCTATCATCAAGAAATCAAATTATACAGGACCAGGGATTTAGCTCACAGCTTCCACCGCCTGCTCTACAAGCACAAGGTCTCAAGTTCAATCCCAGTACCCCCCAAAAGAACAAGAAAAAAGAGACCAAATAATACAGATGGTAGTATGGCTGCAGGGGAAAAGGAACCTTTGTGTATTATTGGTGAGAATGTAAACTGGTACAACCACTGTGGAAATCAGTGTGGAGATTCCTCAAAAAACTGAAACTAGAAATTCCATTTGACCCAGCTAATCTCCCTTCTAGGTATCTTTCCAAAAGAGTTAAAAGATGTCATATTACAGTGATACATGCATACCTGTGTTTACAACAGCATAATTCATAATAGTTTAATCTTAGAAGTGGCCTATATGTCCATCAACAGATTAAGAAAATGTGGTATTTATACACAATGGACAACTACTCTGCCATAAAGAAAGTTAAACCTGAGTCATTTGTAGGAAAATAGATACACCTTGATTTCCTAATATTAAGTGAAATAAATCAGACACACAAGCTTAAATATGGCATATAGGTGAAACCCAAAATGTAAATAAAGAGCAAAAAATGAAAGATAGATAAGAGGAAGAAGGGAGATAGATCTTTCCTAAATGGGAGGAGGTCCACACTGGGCAGGAGGAAAGGGAAAGAATATGAAAAGGGAATTCAGAGGTGCACATAGGCCGTCTCCACATAAGCAATGTAAACATTATGTACTGCAAATCCGTACTAATAAAAAAATATTTAAAAATAAAAAGTTCACATGGGCCCAGAAACCAGTTCAGAGCCCCTCAGCATCCCCAGAGAGAGACACACAAGCCCAGGGTGACTCCACACTGTGCAGGTAACCACACCTCACTCAGAAAGAAAGAGGCATCATTTGGCTCTTAAATCAAAACAGACACTAGGTTTCTCCTACAGGAGCCAAAGCATGGTGTGAAGCCCCTGACTATCAAAAACCAGAGGAAGACAGTCTCGTCTTCCAGGCCAGGTCTGTGTTTTGCACCAGTAATAAAATGTTGACTGCTCAGCCCTCCAATGCTCCACAGGCATCGTGTCAGACATCATTGCATAGCCAGACACGCTAAACAGCTGGGTCAGACCCTGTGACCCTGCATGGCATTCTGAAGACACCACTAAGTCAGACTGTGGCTCAAGCTTATCTCTGTGTCTACTTTTTTTTTGGTACCGGGGATCAAACTCGGGATCTTGCCCTTGTGAAACAGGTGGCAGAACCACTGCTAAATCTTCAAATCAGTGTCTATTTTCTTTTTAAACCAAACTTCTTTATTGCCAAAACAAACAAACAAACAAACAAAAAGACCGCCTTCGGTTCACAATATAGCCACAAATTTTTTTTAATTGAATTTATTGGTACACTCTAGGTAGACAGTACAATTACATTCATTACTGGGATCTTGTACCTTTACATGCCAGGCGGTGTCTATTTTCAACCAGTGAAATTTTTTATTATCTTGGGGCTCCTTTATTGTATGGTTCTTGTGAGTATTTTCATTTTTCAAAATAATAAAATCAGCTTCCATAAAAAATACTGACGTATGTTATTGATACACAGTAATTACTATCCCAAAGAAATGAGATCGTGTACCAATTTATATTTATCAAATTCCATCAGAAGCACAAAGACATAGTGACAGACAAATGCTCATTTCCTTTGCCTAAACAAACAAATGAATTTAAAATCAGGAAAGACCAGGGATGTAGCTCAGTGGTTCCGCCACCTGCCTCAAAAGCACAAGGACCCAAGTCTGCTCCCCAGTCCCAAAATAAATAAATAAATAAAATCAGGAAACTCACCTGTAATCCCTACACTCAGGGACTGAGACAAGAGGACCACCACAACTTCCGGGCCAGCCTAGGTTACACAGTGACTTCAAGCCCAGGCTGAGCTACATAGGGAGAACGTACCTCAAAAACAAACAAATTTAAAAAAACCCAAAATAAATCAATAAATCTACCCAGAAACCTCTGAGAAACGTGTTGTATGATTTACAAATTTAAAAAAAACCCAAAATAAATCAATAAATCTACCCAGAAACCTCTGAGAAACGTGTTGTATGATTTTGCATGAATTTTAGTTTTGAATGACTTAAATATGGTGCAGACTTTAGTTTCTGGAAGAAAGCTTTCAAGTCAACTGCTCTGTCTCAAACCACCAGTGAAGAAGGAATGAGGAGGCACTGGGCAATCAATGTCTCCCCCAGAAGGTCCCATGCTGGTGGCCCAGTTACCCAGCTTTTGAAAGTTGTAACTCCTGCGGCCAGCCACAGCACAGCCATTATTAAGGAATGGAAATAAATAATTGGCAACTCAGCTGCTAACAGTTTGACTCATGACACCACTCGTGCACACAGATTTATAGCCTAGACTGAAGTCACCACTCCTGAGGCCCAGGAGAGGAGCACCAGGTCCTGGGTCCTTGCTCCTCGCCTCCTGTTTGACTTGCAGACCTTCCCTTTCTCAGGAGATACAGAGCTTGCTCACTAACTGGAAGGGGCCAGACCTGACCAGCTACGGGGAACTGGTGCTGGAAGGGACTTTCCGGCTGCAGCGGGCCAAGAATGAGCGCACACTCTTCCTCCTGGACAAGCTGCTGCTCATCACGAAGAAGAGGGATGACACGTTCACGTACAAAGCTCACATCCTGGTAGGTGGCGAGGCTGGGGGTCACTTGTTTCAGCTCCCCCGGGCTTCCCTCACTCCTGTGCTCCCCGTCCAGTGTGGCAACCTCATGCTCGTGGAGGTGATACCCAAGGAGCCACTCAGCTTCAGTGTCTTCCACTACAAGAACCCCAAGGTGCAGCACACAGTTCAGGTAAGAGGGACCTGGTGGAGAGGGTACTGAGGCCACTCGCGTCTCCCAGCTCTCCAAGGCTGCGGGGGTACAGTTGCTCAGCGTTTGACTGCCCCAATCTGCCTCCTAGGCTAAATCCCAGCAGGACAAACGCCTCTGGGTTTTGCACCTGAAGAGGCTGATCCTGGAGAACCACGCAGCCAAGATTCCAGCCAAGGTAGGAGCAGGAGAAGGGTGAGGGGTTGGCACGGATGCTCAGAGGTAGCAGGGTGAGCCTTCAGAACAGCATTTGAGAGGTCCGATACATGGGAATCAGTTACACCTGCCTTTTATACCAAAGATGCTCACGTGTGGTAGGCTCTGTGGGGTGTTTGTGCTGTTACTATTTCTCCTTTGGGGATTAAAAAAGAAAATAAAGGAAAAGACGGTAAAGAAGCTTCTAGAAACTAGTAGAAGCCTGGTGTAACAGCACACACCTGTAATCCCAGCACTCAAGAGGCTGAGGCAGGAGGATCATGACTTCCAAGCCAACCTCAGCTACGTAGAAGGACTTGACTCAAAAAAAAAAAAAAAAAAAAAAAAGGCGAGAAAATAAGAGTATGGGAAATGAGCAGAGGGGCACCAAGAACCTGCCAGGCAGGATGCTGTGTGGGGACAGAGCCAGGCCTGACCATGAAGGAATTTATGAGCCAGGCAGCCGCCACCGTGAACCGTGAACCCTGAACTGTTTGCTCAACGTAGTGAAGTCAGCAGTGCTCTAAGTCAGGTATGCGGGAGGACAAAGAGTTCAGTTGAATGTGGGAGGGAGGAAAATGCCTTTTACTTGATTCTTAAAGGTTGAGGACTGTTTTATGGGGCGGGGGGCTGAGAGAAGAAAAAAAGGAAGCGTGAGAGAGGAGTCTGCGAAGGCAGGCAGAGGGGCGCTGGGCGGTGCTGGGGTCGCAGCCCCAAGCGAGTCTGCTGGTGCGAGAAGAGCGAAGGGCGCTCCGAGGAGCCTCAGCAACAGAAGGAACAGCTGCAAGACGTCGCCGCAGAGACAGAGGGAACAGGCTTTCTCCCAGGCACAAGAGTCAGAGCGGCACCCGGAGCGTGGGGCCGGGACTTCGCAGAGAGGCTGAGAGCAGCGAGCAGCGGGGTGGAACCGGTTTGATGGGGGTTGAGGAGCCTGGGCGGGGCGGGGCCTCTCAGGTGGAAATTCAGGTTCTGGGAGCCGACGATCGGGGAGACAGTAATGGAAGAAGCCCTGCGGTCTGACAGTGTGGCCCACAAGAATGTGAAAAAGGAAAGAAAGACCCCGGGGTGCCCTGACAAGGGATGTGCGGGAGGAGGGGCACCGGGAGAGCAGCCGAAGAGAGGGGCCCAGGAGGTGTTGAGAAGCCCCGAGGAGAAGGGCCAGTGTCAAGGCGGGGAAGAGCCTTGCGGGAGAGATTTAAACAGAAGCAGAGAGGGATTGCAGGGCGTTGGAGAGCAAGAGGAAAATGAAGACCAAGCTGGTGCAGACTTTTTTTTTTTTCTTTTCACAAAATTCAGAAAAGAAAAATGATGGTAGTTTGGGAAGAGGCCAGAGCAAAGCAAGATTTTCTGTCTTGGTTTAAAAAAAAAAAGGCATTGTTGGTTAAGTGAGCTGCTGGGAGGAGAAGGAAGCCGAGGCCCTAAGAGGGAGGAGAGCTGTGTGTTGGAATGAGACCTGGCAAAAGGAGGCAGCAGGGCCAGCGCTCGGTGTAGGAGGGAGTCTCGGAAAGGGTTGGACATCTTCCCGGTGGGGAGAGAAGGGAAAGGAACATGGAAGGGGTAGGGGAAGCAAGAAGAGCTGGAGTTGCTGGTGGCCTTGGTGAAGTCATCTGCAGGGTTGAAGCAGGGACGAGGTGAGCTCCTGGGGGAAGTGGGAAGGTTCAGAACCACTGCAGAAGGAAATGGGGTCGTCACTGGCTGTAACAAGTCCTTCACGAGAAGCACCAGAGACCCAGCTGAAGCCGGCCCCCTCCTGTGAACTGTGGCCATTTCGGAATGTGCTCAGCAGCTATGATTGAGAGACAGTGGTATACACAGTTTCTTCCAGGCTGGGGATGGCAGGGCTGGGAGGGGAAGGTCCCCAGGGTGAAGGAGGGAGGGTGCTACAGACAGCTACAGTGACAGAGAGATTTCCAAGTCAGTGGAGAGGAGGCAACTGGGGAAACAGGCAAGACAGCATGGAGCAAGAGGTGATTAGAGAGAAATTGGCCAAGGGACCCAGTGAGGGGGTGGGGATTGGCCTTGTAGATGATGGGGTGCTTCGTGGTGCTGCCGGGAGGAGGGAGGTGGAGTGGAAACAGGTCATAATCAGGACAGTAGGACTGGGTGGAAAGACAGGAGGACTGAGGCCCAGCGAGGGAGCTTGTCCTGCCTCTATTTTGAAAAGCAGTGCTCAGGAGCTGCCCACAGTGGTTAGGAACTCAGGAAATGAGTGTGCCGAGGTGTGTGCCCGGTGGAAGCAGGTGTGACTGCAAGCACGCTCCTGCAGGAGGTCACTGCATTTCTTCACTGTTTGTCATGGGTGCACTGGGCTGGGGCCCCTGGATGCCCTTCTGGGCAAGGGCGGAGCGCCTCAGATATGCGCACCTATTGTTTACGAGTCTGCTGGGAAAATCAAAACTGCTCAAAGAGGCTCTGAGAGGCAATTACAGACCATGACATACCTGGGCTTTCTCCCACACCAGGTGTGTGTTGCTGGTGGCTTCCCCTTTATGTGTTGCAACAGTTCATGCAGCTCAATCGAATTACACTTTTCACCCAAGTTGCTGACCCATTGAGAATCTAAAAACAGATTTTGAAGTTACAGTATATGCACTATGCTAAGGACTTCATGTTTTTATTTCATCCTCAGAAACACATTTTATGGATTGTTGCTCTTCCCGTTTTAGAGAAAAACAGAGGACTCAGAGGTATAAAGTAAATTACCCAAGTGTAACTAGGACATAGTGAACCCAGATTCAAACCCAGCTCTGTCTAACTTCAGAGAGCTCCTTGATTATTTTGTTCCCACTTATTTTAATATTCTTTATCCACTGTTATAATAATTTCCTATCTTACTTAAGCAAAATTAATTCCAGTGAGCTTTTTATATATCCTTAACAGGAAAATTTCTAAAATTGTTAAACTTTTCAAGATGTATTTATTCTTATGAAGTCAAAGAAATGCATAATAGGACATTTTAAACATTAATGATGTCAACACAGCTGTTTTCCCCCTCACCAGCTCGTCCCTGCTTCAGATTCTCAATCCTGTGACATTCCTTGGCTGCCATCTAGTGGAATGAATGGGAATGGTACTTTTTAGATCAAATGTCAAGATTTAGGAAAAAGATTATAGGATTATAGATACCAGGGAATTTCTTGAAGCCAGCACATTTCCACATATGTGGCTTAAAAAAAAAACTGAATTCTTATCCAAATTAACTAAGAATGAGGTAAACGTAAGTACTTTTGAAGTTTATATGTTAACTTGGTTTTAGAAACGTGCTTCCCGGAAATTGAGCTATCATTTGTGTTTGAAATTAATTCCAATAGTAACCTCAAATTCTGAATGTATAATAGAAATATCAGTGTAAAATCTAAGTATTTGTTTTTTTTAACTAAGGTAACTCTGGGGGCCTACACAAACACACACACACACACACACACACACACACACACACACACACATGCACTTTTTAAAATTGAATATGGTTGCCACTCAGCCTAAAATATATTGTTATATTGCAGACTGCAGCAAAGTAGCAGTGAAGTTATTTTTAGCATAGTGTTAGTAAGTTAAGTGTAATTACTACTGCCCTTAACAACTAAAAGTGACATCTTCTTTGAATTATCAGGCAAAATGATTGGGTAGGATAACCAGCGTACCTTTTTATAACCCCATAAATATAAATAACAGATGGAAATGATTAGAACAACCAAAATATGCCCCAAGCATTGGGCCTTCCAAGAGGAAGGCTGGGGTGGGGAGAGCAGTGTGTACAGGAGCAGCACTGGGTGCCCAAGAAGGCAGGGGCAGCCACAGGGAGCGCCTATCTTGTGATCCTAGTGGCAGCTCTGAACAGCAGGGCCTTTTACCTCATCTTAGAGTTGGGGGGGAGGTGACAGTGCCACTGACTCCATGCCAGAGCTGGGATCACAGATTGCACCCCTTGGAACCCTGGCACCTACACTGTGGCTCTTACTACCCCTCTGGGAGATGCCGGGGCACCCAAAGAGATGGGAGGTACAGGGGCCATGGCGAACAGGGTGAGTTAGCCTACAAGAGCCACATGGCTGATGAATGTGGTCACACTGTACACCTAAAATGTACCAATAAACCTAATGGGAAAAAAAGAATAAAAATGTTTTAAATCTCCAAGTGGGGGGAATAAAAAAAAAGAACCGCATGGCACTAGGGAGGAGGAGAGCAGTGGTGCCAACTTCCAGCAGCTGTTTGCCAACTCACTTGCAGTACCGTCTGTGGGTTCCACATCTTCAGATTCAGCCAGTCTCAGGTTGGAAATATGAGGAGGAAGGCACTGAGTCTGCCTCCACTGAACACAGATATTTTTCTTGTTGTTATTCCCTGCTACATACCATTTATATTCTGTGAGGTATTCTAAACAGTCTAGAAGTGAGTTAGTGTGTGAGTTATATGCAAATACTGCGTCACTTTTATACAGGGATTTGAGCATCAGTGGGTTTTGGTGTCCTTGGCAAGGAGCAGGGATGGTTCTGAAACCATACCTCCATAAATACAGAGGGACGACTGTGGTTCTGAGGCCCCCAAGTAATACAGAGGGTTGGCAGTGTAGACTCCAGGCTCCATGCTTTGAGCTTTCAGTTGAGTAGACAATGGTTGAGTAGTAGGAATCTACACTTCTTAAAAAGCTTTCCATGAATCCTGATGAGCAGCAGGGCTTGGACCAGCCTCTCTCCCCATCTCTCTCTTTTTGCAGGGGTCAGTCTTAGCTCTGCCATACCAGTTGGATAACATCCACCACCCCCGTGAAGGCACACATATGTTTGGATCCCCTGAATTATGTACTAATGCCTAAAAGAAATAGTGGGCTTTTAGAAGCTTATAAAGGTCCATTTAGTTGGGGGTAAGATCTGTGTCAGGACTGGTAGTTTAAAAAAGAAAAATAGTAATTTCAATTATAGCTACGCTTTCTCTCTTTCAGGCCAAGCAAGCAATACTTGAAATGGACGCCATGCGTAAGTTTTGTTTCCCTTCTGTGACTTGAACTGTGACTGCCTACTTATACCGTATCTGCCACATTTTCTATCTTAAAATCTATGAAATGTCAGTTGTAAGAAAACGAAAGCTCTCTATTCACTGTTTTATCAAACAGAGCAGAAATTAGAATCCCTACAAACGCTACACCGGTTTGCTTCTACACTGATTCTCCTGGTTTATCTGTGAGTCACTTTATGGCTGGCCACATGTCTAGGTTTCTGCAGCACCGAGCAATGTCAGACGCACCTCCAAAGTCAGCTCTGCCTCCCACCTCCTCCGCCACTGAAAAGCAAGGCTCCAGAATGTGTTTCTCTTTCAGCCTAGCCCCTAAATATCGGTGTTATCTGCAAGAATCCTCATAATCCCCATCTGCAAGAATCGTGACCAGATCTGCTGGAAACTTGTGTTTAAAACACTCCAGCCAGACATGGTGTCACATGCCTGTATGTCAGCACTCTGGGATTTTAGGCCAGCATGGGCAACATTTCCAGTTTAAACTGTTCAAAATACCTTACTTTTAAGGAATCTTTTCTCAAGTATAAACATTGATTTCTTACTCTCCAGCCTGCCATGTGTTAATCCCCCAGGAGAAAAAAGAAACATCAGGGAGTTTGAAATGAGAGTGCTGTCCCGCCACTGTAGCTGTGGCGCCAGGTTCCCATCCAGCAAATATGAGAAACTGTGATCCCTGTGAGAGGGCGAGTCTGTGTTCCCCCAATCCCCACATTTCATACCATGGAAATAGCCTGAAGATTTTTTAAGAGCTGTCTGAAGAGGTTTGGCCACAAATGGGCAGATTACATTGGGAAGAAGGAGAGAGGGAGATAGATTTAGAGAAGTCAGCTGCTGTGGGGACCAGCTCCACTCACAGAATGACCTGCTTATTGCCAGGATCTGAGCAAGCGCTAGAGATGGATAAGATGGTCCAAGTGCCCCAAATTGTTCCATACATCTGTCACGCCCAGGCTGAGTCCAGAGCAGCCCTGCGGGAGGAAGTGACCTTCTGGGAGTTTAGACATGGCTCAGCCATGGTGCCGTCACTCGGTAATTTACCTGACACAGAACGGTGTGGTCTTGGGGTCTGAACTCAAGTGTCCCTTGAAGCACCTGGGCCATACCTTGAGCGTGTTTATGGCTGGGTCCTCAGCCCTGAAGGCCCTGAGCCTTTGGGTGCAGATGATCATAAGACATGCCCCGTACCTTCGCATCTGATCAGAATGCCCTAATCCAAAATCTGTGTGCAGCTTAGGTGCAGTAGAAAGATGAACTCAGTGAAATTGAACACAGTTTTCTTTTCTGGTAAGAGTCTAAAGCTTTCATCAAATGCTTAAAGGGATAGCGTCTAGGAACATATTAAGAGCGACTGCTGAAGGACACCTGCCACAGGGACATAAAGGGAACTGTCTTTCTAGGAGGTAGCTGATGAATGACAGCTCCTTCTGCTAAAGATGGAAACAGAAGGCCATGGTATAGAGGAAGAAGAGGAAAGAGACAGAGGCAGATCGAGGGCCCAGGACCTTACCCACATACTCCTGGAATCCCCGCATACATGGGAAGTTTTGAGATACAGTTACACCAATTATGGTGGTGGTGGAATATATCCATGTCTGGTGCGAAAGAGCAAATCCATTGAAATCTAAAACAAGCTCTAGCCATTTTCCCAGAAGCCCTCACTCTGCCCTGCTGTGTCACCTTTGCAGACCATCCAGGCTTCTGTTACAGCCCTGAGGGCGAGACCAAAGCATTCTGCGGCTCAAAAGAAGGTTCTGCGCCCCATCGGCTGAGAAGAAAGTCTGGTAAATGGCATATTGTGATGACAGTGTAATATTAATGGGCACTGGAAGTGAGAGTCCCTCTCAGGAGGACAGAAAGACTTTTTCTGTCTGGTTTTAGAGCTTACTGTTGATCTGAGTACATCTGAGGCTGCTTTGAAACAAAACTCTCCACCCTTTGTTTTAAACTCCTTTTCCACTTAACTCTCTCTTTTCCATTTAATTCTCTTTCCCATGAATAGAGAGCATATACGTCTACTAATTTTGCTTTCTCCAGCATCTTACCATTGGCATGTAGTTAGGCAAACCCTGTTTGTTATTGCTAATGCATGTCATGTCCTATGAATGGCACACACACAGAATTATGAATGCCTAAATCAGCATGCACATTTGCTAAATCAGACCTTATGAAGCATTGCCCTATCCTTGGATCTTGATTCCATTTGAATCAGTATTTATTGAGCATCTACTTTATGCCTTTCTGTGGACAAGAATACAGGAATAAATAATGTATGTGGTTCCTGTTTGCAGAGGGTTCACTGTAGGAGACAGAAAATAAGAATAAGTATCAGTTTGTGTGATGGAGCTGTGGCAGAGGTAGGATGGAAGGAAGAGTGGGGATGGAAAAAGACAGACAGACAATATATGTATATGTACATATAGATATATAGATGTGAAGCCTTCATAGCCTTCATGATATGAAGGACCAGTTATCCACTTATCCAGTGTTCTTCTAGTGGAATTTGGGGCCAAGAGGCCAAGGAGACAGAATTATAATGCTGAGGCCCTGACACTTGCACAGCACAACTAAGGACAGGCATCACCTACGGCCAGCCATGTACACCGGCTGCACCTGGAGGAGCCAGATTGGACAGGGGTGGATATAGTAGAAGGAGGTGAGCTGGAGATGTTGAGACAGGAGTTGGACCTTGAATATCTTAGCAGGCCAGGCAGAGGGTTTGAACATGGCAAGCCACAAAGGATTGGAAGCCATGAACTGTGAGAACAGTTGCCTTTTAGGAAAAGAACTCTGACTGTATGAGGAGAATGAGGTGGGCAGGGAGACCTGGGGAGGCTGCCCCACTAGTCTAAGGGAGAGGCAATGCAGGCTTGGATTCAAAGACTGGCTATAGGGGTGGAGCACTATGGGGAGCCCCCAAAACCATAATGGATTAAAGCAGGAAAATTTCACAACGATGTCCTGGTTACTACCTTGGGACAGAAAGGTCAGTGATAACCCAGTAGGAAATACAGATGAAGGAGCAGGTTTAGGAAGAGGACAGTGAAATGTGGTTGAATGTGTAGAGTTCGTTGAGTCGGAAGCTTGGGACAAGCATCAGGCATAGTTATGTAAAATTGAAAGTTACCAGCTGATAGGTAAGGAGGTCGCTTTATTAGTTGATAGGCTTAAGGAATAGCATTTTGCCTTTGTGTTAGGTGACTTCCAGTTCCTTAACATTTATCCAGTCCTTCTGACAGAGTGAGTTTCTTGTTCCTAAATATTTCTGAGCAATGGGAATTTAAGTAAATTTGGTAAGAAATTTCTAGAGCTCATGTAATTTAATATAAACTAGTAATTTATAAGGAAAAAACTTTTATTTGGTTCTGCAAATGATGCTGGCTTTCTTTTCCTCCCAGAACCTTCCTCAAGATCACATAAAGTTTTGAAGACAAGTGGTAAGTTCCTAAATATCTTTTCATTTTTCATTCTTATTCATTCCAAGCTAAACCATACACACATACAAAAAGAATATCAGATGAATTACAGCTTTACAGGCTCAGTGATTCAATTACAGAAAGATGAACAATAAGCACAATTGTCTCATTTTAAAATGTGACAAATGGGGAAAAAATGTGGCAAATGACATAAATTATGTGCAATGTGTATCTGTCAGGCATAAAAGATTGATGCCACTATTATGTAAAGAAATTCAAAAGAGGAGATAAAAGACCCATTAATGTACATATACATATATATGCACACACGTATACACACACATAGACATACAGATACACACATATACAGACAAGTGTATTTGGGCAGTTTCAGAGAAGAAACAAAGTACCAAAAATTTTAAATGGTCATTCATGTTTATAATTTTTAAAAGCATCTATTTATGTAACATAAATGGATGGGGAAAGCTATGAGCTTGGCCAAAGACACCGAAAAACAGACACTACCGAACTGCTGTGGGAGGGTAAGTTTGTAAAGCTGAACCTGTCAGGAATAAAATTCAGTGCCAGCATTTAAATTGGCGATGGCATTGCCCTTGACCTAGCAGTATAGAAGTACTCACCCAATGCACACGCAGGTAGATCTGTAGATGTGTGATCTCTGCAGCATTTGTAATAGAGCACTGTATAAATTGTCCATCTAGCGACAAGCAATTCAATAAATTGTGGCATGTCCATACACATAAAGAAATACTCTACAGTCTTAAACAGAATGAAGTAGATTTCTATCTACTAACAAGAGTGTCCATAAATATTTAGCCAAAAATGCAGTGTTGCCTGTTGGAAGCTGATTTAAATAACAACCGCTGTGCATCAGAGGGATCCAGAAAGAGGAACGTCAGACTACCTGTGGTTACCCTTAGGGAGGGGGATGTATGGGAGGATAAGGGTTTTATTTTATTCCATAATAAAATAGCTTTTAAAGACAAGGCACACACAATCAGGACATCTGTAAATAGTCCTCGCAGTTCTACCTGCACTATTCTTTAGCCCGTGGTCAAGGAGTTCCTGTTGATATGGCTGTAACCATCAGTTAAAACCAATAAAATGTCTAAAAATCCACAGAAGCATTCTCTTCTCCTCGTGTGAGTTTTGTGGCTTATGGCATGAGCATTTTTCTTTCAGGTAGTCCATATCTTTGTTTGGAAGCTTTGGAAACTTTGTAACATAGAGTAGATCATTGGTCTCGGGGCACTTGAGTCTCAGATGATGTACTGCAGCTTACTATAGCCAAAGATACACAACTGAGATAGTGGAGAGGAATTGTTGAAGATTAGGTCAAAAGGGCCCAGAGTTCTGTTGGTTTTCAATTATTAGCAATAAGTTTATAAGTCCTATTATAAAATAATTAGTGCTTCTTTATATACAAAATACATTTTAATTCTCAAACTTGAAAAAAATATCTTTTATTTTGCAGAAACAGCACAAGACATCCGAAAGGTGAGCACGATCATGTTTCTTTTAACACTTTGATTGTGGGCCTCCTTTGTCTCAGTGCTTTTCCTTTACAGTATGTCTTAATCCAGCCTGCATTTTCATTCCAGACAGAGCCTTTACATTTTGGCAATCTTATATTTGTTTCATGTTTTATAATTTACATTTGATTTAAGGGAAGACTCAACCTTACGCATCTCCTACCTCCTCGTCTTCATCTCTCACAGCTAAAGCAATCATGTGTTGGTCACGCTGCCCCGTGACTCACCTTAGGAAGCACAGTACTGGGGTGTCCAGCTCACTTTGTCCACAGAAGCCCCCTTCTCAAAACATTAGCCTTCAATCCCAAGGATGAATATGGGACTAAGAATATGGGACTAAGCCACACATGATGACATAGGCCTGGAGACCAGTTACTCAAGAGACTGAGACAGGAGAATCATTTGAGCCCAGGAATTCAAGACCGGCCTGGGCGACATATCGAGGCCTAATTGCAAAAAAAAAAAAAAAATTAAAAATAAAAAAAAACTAAGAATATGATTCTACGGCTGGTATGAGAGGTGTGATGATATGTGATGTAGTGAAACTTGCCATACAAATTACAGACTTTTTTTTCCTCTGATGAAAAGATAGGATAGGGAGGGATAAGAATGCTCTCTTACCTGTGAATGTAGCTCAGTGGTAGAGAACATACCTACCCTGCCTGAGTTCCCAGATTCAACCCCCAGAACTGCAAAAAAAAAAAATAATAATAAAATAAATTACCCTTTTGTGAGATATGAATCCATTACCTGCAAAGAGTAGGTACTGTTTCCTGACCTGAGTGATTCTTCCAATATGGCTGCTGATCAGTTGGCTTAATTAAGCAAAGTTAGAAAATTAACTGTGGCTTCTTCTGTGTCTATAAAGATGTAGCTCTGAATATCTTGCTCCACAATTCCATATACCAGGGCTTACCACAGGGCCGGAGTGGCCCTCTTAACAAAGGCTTACCTTTCCAGTAAAGCAGTGTAAATATCAACACAGTCTTATGTTAAAGTGATTTTTATGGCTCAGAGCATAGATAGTTTTTCAGATAGTATATATTTTTCTTTGAAAGAATCTGAAACATATAAACAATTTGTTGTCCTGAAATACAGCATAAAATTTTGATTTTGTAGTCTTTGTTTTCATAAATGGGGTCATTACAGAAGGTGCCTGTTGTATCTTATATCTATCTGGATATCCCCCCACAGCCTCATGTGGTCCTCAGTGGCACTTTTTGGATTGGGCTAGATCTAGAGTGTATGATTCTGGGATTAAAGGTGTGTGGTACTAAATTAGTCCGCTGATTAGAATTAGCATAGTTCTAGGTGTGGATAATGGAAGCCCCACCCTGGGCGTGGATGCCACCAATCAAGGGAGAGAGGGAAGGCAGGCTGCTGCTTGTTGCTTGCTGACTTCTGCCTGCCATGCACTATTTCTGCTCTGCATCACCCTTCTGCCATGCCACCCTGCCTGGGAACCAGCCAAGTATGGACTGAGACCTTTACAACTGTGAGCTAAAATAAATCTTTCCTTTAACTTGTGGGTGTCAGGTATTTTGTCTCAGCAACAAGAAAGTTAGCTAAGACAGTGCCTTGCTCTCTAAGGTAGTCAAAGTAGGATAGTGGAGCCAAGACACTTACAGTACTAAGTGAATTTTAGAGTTCCAACACTAAAGACTTCTTGAAACTTTCTATGAGAGCACTCAAGCCAGGCTCCTATGGAAAGTAATTAAACCATCTAAAGTCAGAAGACAAGAAAGAAAACACCCATAAGCTCTTTTTAGTAGCAAAATTCTATCTCCTAGTAGTAATGTCCTCAATGTATAGTAAAAGCAGGGATAGGAGATTTACTTATAATTAAGTAGCTCATAATAAGAAATATTCCTTAATAATAACTTAATATTTCTCCCAAAATATATTCTGAAAGTATGTGTGTGTGTGTGTGTGTGTGTGTGTGTGTGTGTGTGTGTGTGTGTGTTGGGTTAAACTCATAGCAGCTCAAATTAAGACATGGACCCAAATATAGTTCTGCCGTTTATTAACTATATGACTATAGGTATTGCTTAACCTTACCAGGACTTAACTTCCTAATTTATGCAATTGTTATAAAGATTAAATATGATAATATATTTTAAGTGATTAATATGTCATTGTTTGGCACAAAGTGAGTGTATTTACTCATTTTATTTATTTATTTATTTATTGGTACATTTTAGGTATATAATACAGTTACATTCATCATTGGGATCTTGTACCTCTATAGGATGTATCTTGGTTCTTATTTTTTCCCCATTCCCCTGGCCTCCCTTCAATCCCTCTACCCTTCCCTGTTTACAAAGACTTTGTTTCATTTTTTTTCCTTTTCTTTTATTTTTCTTTTCCCTTCTTACCTTTCCCCTACCCCTCCCACTTCCCCTATACCTTTAGACTTTTTCTTCCTATTACACAATATCAATTAAATATTTTGATCCTTATTTACACTTTTAGTTTATCACATCAGAGGAAATTAATCTTTCTACCTACAAAATAATATCACAGTAATCCACTCCATAAAAGAAGTTCCATATTATAAATAAATAACACTCCATTGTTTCTTTTGCTTAGAAATCATTAACATCACTCATATTTTACTTCCTAACTGGCAATCAAATGTTACTTAACTAAATATATTTTGAAAGAAAACAAAAATAACAGTGCTTAACAATGGATTAAATTACAACCCTACAACAAAGGCTCTGCCTAGAATCTATAAAGAGAGATAATTCTGGCCAGGCTCATGGTGGGTTGGCTGATTTGAGGAAACACTTGGGGTATGTAGTGGGGTTGCCCAGGAGAGACTCCTGGCATACGGGAAACCAAGATAAGACTCCTGTGAGTCAAACTCTCTTTCAGAAGTCTCAGATAGAAACCAGACACCACGGCCCTTGACACCTACATATATTCATTTATGCAATCGATATCTGCCACGTGCACACCAGACTTCTTTGAAGTGTCTAAGAGTTGTCTATATTTAGCTGACATCCTGCTTTGGGGAAAAAGTTTTGGAGTCAGGCTTGGATTTGAGTCCTAGACGTATTACCAAAGAGTAGAGCAAGTTACTGAATCTTCAAGAACCTAGATTTCTTTACTATATGAAAGTATAGTATACATCAAAAAATGTGTACATCAGGAAAAGAAAAACTTACATGAATATTTTAATACTAAATCTATTTGGACATCATGAGATTAATACAAGTTACGGTTGGCCTCTGCAATTGCAAGAGGTGCTCAAAGCGGTGGCCATTAGCTTCCAGACATTTATCAGTAGGATGGACTGCAGAAGTGTGTATACTTATTTTGGCAGACTCTGTATTAGTGTAATATCTAATTTGCAAAGTGATTTTGAATTTTAACTTTGGAGCATATCTGCCAATTGCCAACAGCCAAGTTTCTAAATGAATTAATTCTTGCCCTTTCTGCTCCTTTTCCAAAAGTGGGAAGTGCTTTTCAATTCAATTAAAATCAACATTGTCTTCTTTAAAGAATACGGCAGTGTAGTGGCAGAGGCCACGTGCAGGTACAGGAGAAATTCCCAAGTCCTGTGGCAGTCCCGTGGAGCTGTAATTCATTGGCATATTTCTGTCTTCCTCAGGTTTCTAGAGAGGAAGGCACTGCCCAGCGGACTTCTGTAGGGCCTTCTCCAGCCCAGAGGAATAGTCAGCCCAGCAGTTCCGCCATCCTCAGCGCGCTTCACGGGGATGGCGCCATCAGAAACATCTGGACTGATCACCAGATTCGGCAGGCCTTGTTCCCCAGCCGCCGGACCCCGCAGGAGAACGATGATGATGAAGACGACTACCAGATGTTTGTGCCGTCCTTTTCCTCTTCAGATTTGAATTCGGTCAGGCTGTGTGAAGAGAACAGCACTTCGAGCCGCCCTTGCAGCTGGCACATGGGGCAGATTGAGTCCACAGAGACCTCAGGCACTGTCCACAGGATTGTCCGACGGGCCAGCAGTGCTGGTGAGAGCAACACCTGCCCTCCTGAAATAAGAGTTAGGGACAGCAGCGGCTCTCAGTACAGCCCCCGGAGGGAACTGCAGAATGGCCCTCACACGGAAGGGCAGGACAGGGTGACTCCTTTTGGGTCAGCTGTGGAGTTGACGATTGATGACATAGACCATGTCTACGATAACATAAGTTACGAAGACTTGAAGCTGATGGTTGCTAAACGGGAAGAAGCTCAATCTACTCCCCTCAAATCAGCCAGGGATTCCGTTCGCCCCAAAAGCACCCCAGAGCTCACCTTCTCAAAGAGGCAAACTGGCCACAGCACAGGTCCTCTACACTCGAGGAGACATGGAGAGCTCGGCAGCCAGGGGGTGTCTAACCAAAGTGTGCAGGAGCTCCAGGAGGAGGAAGAAAACATCTATGACACCATACGGCTCCCAGACCCACCGTCCCTGGATTTCAAGTGCAGCAGCCTAAAGCGGCCCAAAAGGAGCACCTTCCTGGGTCTGGAGGCTGACTTTGCCTGCTGTGACAGCCTCAGGCCGTTTGTGTCCCAGGATAGCCTCCAGCTGAGCGAGGAGGATGGGCCTTACCATCAGGGGCCTCCAGATAGTGACTATTTGAGCTTGCTGTATAACTCTTCAGATAAGTCCCTGTCTGATAAGCTGTCTGAGGAGGTCGATGAAATCTGGAATGACCTCGAAAATTACATCAAGAAAAACGAAGACAAAGCTAGAGACCGTCTCCTGGCAGCGTTTCCCGTGAGCAAAGATGACGTGCCCAGCCGGCTGCATGCTGAGAGCGCCCCGGAGCTGAGCCGGGACGCAGGGCCCACCACGTCCACACTCTCCCTTCCCGAGAGTCAGGCTTTCCGCACACCAGTGAAGAGCAGGGTCGTCAGGCCTGGCCAGACCACCTGCCCAGCGGAGGAAGACCTGATTTCCGCAGAAGGCTCCTTTCTGAGCTTCAGCCGCCTCTCTGTGGCCAGCGAGATGCCCCATGTGGACAATCCCTATGATCTGGTCCACAGCAGCCTGCCCCCCACAGACCCAGAGAACCCTGACCCTGGTGTGGATGGTCCAGATAAGACCAAAAGCCGGGTCTTCATGATGGCGAGACAGTACAGTCAGAAGATCAAGAAGGCAAATCAGCTTTTGAAAGTGAGGAGTCCGGAGTTGGAGCAGCAGCCAGCCAGTCAGCATCCTAAACCCACACCCAAGGACCTGGCAGCCATCCTAGAAGAGAAGAGGCAAGGAGGCCCAGCCATTGGTATGTTTACACCGCTTTTCTTCCTTCTTGGCTGTAAGGTGGGAGAGCAGGTGCCCAGTTCTAAGTGTCCTTAAAGTGGATGCAGCTGTGAGAACAGTCATTTGAGTGTTCCTACCTCAAATATCACAGACAAAGCCATGGGCAGCTTTTCCCGCTTCACTAAATTGTACTGCAGCAGCATGATGTGACGTCAGAGGATTATGGTGTATGTGTAACATTGCCACTGTGGAAGTGATTTATTTTTTGAAAGTTTTCTCTAATGGAACATAAAGTATGAAAAAAAGCGACCAGTTTTAATTTGTGCTACAGCTTTTCTCTGTGTATCAGTAATATGTTAGGAGAAAGAACGGTTTACAAAGTCTTTCCAGGCTTGGAAGCTGACAGAATGGGATTTGCTCTTTGCTCCGACTCCCTGCTAAAGTGCCTATTCCTGCAAACACAGAGGCAAAAAACCAAAACCAAAAAAAAAAAAAAAAAAAAAAAAGGCATTTTCACATTTTTCCTGTTTCACACTTTTCTTAGCTAACTGTGCAGTTCAGTGGTTTTCTCACATATTTTGGCTGCTACTTGATTTTTAAAATAGCATCTCATTCGGAATCCTTATTTATGCTTTCAGTAATCTTAATTCTTGAGTTAGACCTCCTCCGCAGAGCATAATAACTAGGTCAGGGTCTTAGGTGTGACAGTGGTACGATCAGGGGTCCAGGAATGAGAAGTACAGGTTTGACTTTGCTGAAGGACTAGAACTCTGACTTGGGGGAAGGGCTCAGGTGTGAATAGAGCAGATGACAGTCCTGAATGAGCTGAAGAACTTCTTGCCTCCAGACCCAGAGAGATTTCTAAAGTAAGGCCCAGGAATCTGCATTTTAAACAACTGGGCCTTTCCCCTCATACTTTAAGAAATCCTGCCCTAGATTTTCTGACAAAGGACCACCTTGGTATGAAAAAAAGAGTCAGTTCTCCAATTAAAAGTAAAAAGCCAGTGGCTTTGTATTAACAGGTTTGGCTGATAAGCTTCATAGGTACTGGGCACCCTGGGATGTGTTGATACTGCTAATTTGGGTATGTTGTTGCCACTGACCTCCTTTCTTTGGAATCTATTTATTTATCTATGTGGAAACCAGAGCGAAGAAGGTGCTATCGAAATCCTAAGTGAATAACAATGATGAGAATCTGTAAGGGATTTTTTTTTTCAGTCTGGGAGTATTTAAGAATTATCTAAACTAAAGCTTTCATCTTTAGTACAATTTCCAATCAAAAATGAAGACTTAGAATTGATTCCCTGAAGGGTTTATAGGCTCTTTAAGGTCTTCTTCTTTTTAACAAAATAAAAGTTAACAATGACTATCACATGAATTTGACAGACTGTATCACATATATTTTTCTTCTCATAATAATGCTAAAAGTAATTTCTGTCCCTTTTCCAATGCCAGCTGGTTTGTTGTTATACAGTACTCAGAGAAAGCAACTAAGCTCCAGCTGCTGGAGGACTATTTTGGGGAGGCATAGATGGCCTGAGAAACAGGTGTATATTGGCAGTTGCAACCACTGCCTGAGTCTGGGTTGGGGTTTTTAGAATCAGAGACAATAAACCAGGCGTGGTGGCGCACGCCTGTAATCCCAGCACTCAGGAGGCTGGGGCAAGAGGATCGCTGTGAGTTCGAGACCAGCCTGGGCTACATAGTGAGTTCCAGGGCAGTCTCAACTACATAGCGAGACCCTGTCTCAAAAAAAAACAAAAAAATAGAATCAGAGACAATAAATACTAAGCTTTCTGAGGACGACAGACCAGGTCAGCACACTATTGTCTAAAGAGTGGTAATTGCTTGGGCAGGTTGTTTGGAATATATGACATCCATTAAGATGCAAAACACTTAATCTTGATTGAAGCATGCCCTCCCATACTAAGCAACTGAGAATTACAGCTACTTTGAATAGTCTTTTTACCTACCTTTTTTTTTCAGATTAGGGTTCTTTGGCTTCTTTTAATTTTTGGTTCTCCTGTTTGTTTTATCTCCTGGTATCTTCTCGGGATCTCTTGGGATCCCATGGAATCTCTTCTCAGCTTTGCACCTGGGTCCTTTCTTGACATTGTGGGCTACCTCCGATGTCCTCCCCAACAAAGAGGAGAGGATCCCTCCCAAAGCACCTTCCAACAGTGCTGTCTGTCCTGGCCTTCTGGCAGGAGCACATCCCTAGGGCCTGCCACTCTCGGACCTGGCGAATTAAATCCATGTCTCCTCCATCTGGGTGATCGAGACCACTTCCTGTGCCCACCAGGCTTTCCATCAGTTGACATGATGACTCCTTTTCTCTTTCTTGTTTATCTGGGCACAGGACGTCCTACTCGAATGGACCGATTCTCCAGACTTCTGCGTATGGGCCTTGCCACTTTGCCAGGAGCTTGCTCTCGGTGTTGTGCGGAAGGAGGAGCGCCCTATTCACCTGCTGAAACTCTCGAGCATCTTTATTGAACTCTCTACCAGGGGTCTACAGGCCCCGGGTCAGATTTCCGACTCTAAATCACCCAACCAGGTCCAGTTGCTCCCACATTTTAGAGCCTGTTGTAGCATGCCAGCCATCTTGTTCAGACACACCTCGCTCCTGATAGTTTTTCAGATCAAGCAGAGGCCTTTGGGTTCCTATTTTTTTATGCAGTTTCGTGTGGTAGAACACTCTGTACAGGCTTGAGAAATGTTCCTTGTGTAAAGTAGGGAAGGCACAACTTTATGCTGTTGATGATATCTCAGGGACCATGAGAAACATTCATTTTAATCTTCTGTCTTGGAAACAGCATATTTGATATTTCCCTTGGCAGGGCTTACTTCAAATTTTTATCTGGAATCATAAGAACTCCAGCTTTCAAACATTCAGAAAGGAAAATAAGCCTGAGATTATCATGTAATGGTAATGTACATGTTCTGTAAAGACTAAGGGCACAGCCAGCTGACTGGCTAGAGAAGGTGTCTCAGGATGACTTTCCTGTGTGTCTGCCTCAGGGGACCTTGTCTGTCATCCCCATTGGTATCATACAAGTTATGGGCTCTTTTAGGTGGTCAAGACAAAAACAAACTTAGATAAGTACAATATGTTTTCTACCAGTGAGATATTTCATTCATAAATGATAAATGGTCAACTCTTTGCTATTAAAGATAAACTGTGCCCACTGTGAATTGTCTATAGGAAACGTTTTAATCCAAAGCAGTCTTCCTGCCTCCACTTTTACTCTTATGGCCTGATTAACAGGCTGTTTTTCTATACCCAGGGGCCTGAGCTCAGGAAAAGCCCATCCATTTTTAAGCTTATGCTTAAAATAAAGTGAAAGAATAAAAAAAATATTATCTGCGTAATAAAGTAGCTTTGGAGACCAATTTCTTTCTAGAGCTATGGTTGTGCTATGTAGTAGGCTGAACAAAATGTGTAGTTTGTAGCATTTTTCTGCAAGATCAAAAGCTCATAGACTACCTGGGGTAAGCTAGCCTATAAAAAACAAAGAGCAACACAATGTTGTGGTGTGTGTGTGTGCGCATGTGTACGTGTAAACATAAGATAAATCAGAGAAGATAAATCAATTAGCAGAGGATCCAGTGAAGACTGGAGAATCTTGACAAATAGATGGGATCTGATTAAGCAAAGGAAGTAAAAAGTATGAGAAAGAAGGCAAAGACATAAAAGATACTATGGATACTTTGGACAGTACATGTTTCCGATTAGCTGGGCTAACGTCAAGAGTACAGACTATATTTTTTATTAAATTTTGATACTAGGCTTGTCTGAATTTTGAATTAGTTTTGCTTTCCCCCGAACTGTACTCTCCTTGGACTCTTCTAAAAGATCAGAGCCTTCCTGACTCCAATGGGAAACAAGGCTCAGTGCAGCGGAGTACAGGAGAATGAGTGTGCAGGGCGCCTCTCTGCCTTTGTCTGGAGGTCCAGCTGCCTTTGGCTGGGCCCTCATAGTTAATGAAACATTACAGGCTTTAGGATGGTGAATGCAGGTACACTGGTATCCAAAGAAACTTTCACATGCTCTTTCTTCAGGTATTGTTAAATCTTACTTGGTACTAAGAGTTTTTGCTCGAACATTTGAGAAATCTCCCAAATTTTGATTACTAGAAATTTCTAAACTAATATACTCTGTCCTTGCAAAGAAATTTGGAGTTGAAAACCCAAGCGATCTGAATTTAGGCTCTGTAATGAGCTGCTAGATATTTACTTTAATTGCAGGGAACAGAAGGTGAAGGAACAGAGAGACGAACCGGTTGTGGTTAAAGGGCACACAGTAACAGCTAGTTGTTTCTGTCATCAAAGAAGATAGACTCAGACATGGCCAGTGGGAAAGAAATGGCAAAAACAAATTAAATGAGTACTTAACTTCACATTCAAGGGTAATTTACTAATGACAGTTACTAACAATATAAATAGTTCAAAGAAGAAGAGGAAGAAAACATAAAGTAATTTGCTGTATGTAACAGACAAGATAGATAGATTTCCTTCACAGAGATGATGTAGGTGATCTGAGCAACTTACACGCTGCCTGGAGTCCTTTGATTCTAGGGTGGTCGTGTGCATGCCCAGATTAGACAGAGGAATAGCTCTTGAAAATGACATTTAAACACTGCATTTAAATCAGTCATGGCCCAAGAGAATGTTCTAACCATATTATGGCACAGCTCGTATCTTTAGAAGTGTCGGTACTGAGAAGTACAACAAAGGGAAGAATGGGAAAAGCTTTATAGAAATAACTGCCAAGTCCTATTCTTGAGCAAGTAGATAGAGAACAGTGGATTGTTACATGGATACACAAGTGGCTCATTAATGGCTTGGAGACATGAGCTGAAGCACTCCCCTTCTTCCAGTAGGAAGAGAGAAGGGAGGTAGTCTGGTGGTTTGAAGTTCTGGAGGGGAGGGCCTCCCTAGACATTGGTTCCCCGGATGGACGGTGCCACTGGAGAGCTGTCTGGAAACCAGAACTGCAGGAACACACTACTCTAGAAGTAGTCCGGAGCAAACAGGGGTGGCGAGAAGCCAGGGCTAGCCACAGCATTGTGCATGTGTTCTCGCTTCCTTTAGTGACTGTTTGAACCATTTTGGTTTTTATTATTTATTTTTATTGCCTTATTTACTTGCTTCCTCTGGCATTCGGGATTGAACCCAGAGCCTCACACTTCTATGCAAGCATTCTAATGCAGAGCTATATGCCCAGCTGAACTAAGTTTTATTGACCTAGTTTAAGTGCTGACATTTCCTGCTTTTAGGATGCCTGTTTTCAACACTGACAGGGAAAGTGGATGTGCAGCCCAGGAGTAGAGTGCTTGCCTAGCATGCACAAGGCCCTGAGTTGAATCCTGAGCACATAAAAAAAAAAAGAAAGAAAAAGTAGCCCTAGAAATTTTCATTACAATCAGTGGATACTTGCAGACCTACTGTTGAAATAGAATCATGCATAATTCAATCAAATTAAATGAACTTTTTGATGGTGTTTCTATTTTTATTAATTTTTATTAATTGTAGGTTATTTTTATTAGTTTATGTTCAACAATTACTCATCTTCCAACTTTAATTAAAGGACTATCTACTGTTTAAGGTTTTTAAAAAATATATTGATTAGATGCCAGGTGTGATGGTGCACGCCTGTATCACAACACTGGGGAGGCTGAGGTAGGAGGATCACTGTGAGGTTGAGGTCAGTCTGGACTGCATAGCAAGACTCTGTCTAAAAAAAAAAAACAAATAAAAAGTATATTGATTAAAATGTTATATCCTTATATTTTATCTTCATCTGTAGGAAGAATCTGATGTGTACTTATTGTCTCAATATTTGCCTTCCAGGTGCCAGAATTGCTGAGTATTCCCAGCTCTATGACCAGATTGTGTTCAGGGAGACACCTCCTAAAATTAAGAAGAACAGCTGGGCCAGTGTGCAGGAACCCGCCCACCTTAGGGCCACGTCGCCTTCCCAGACACACCATGGCAGTGAGGAGTGGCTTTGGCATTCGACCTACAGTAACGGAGAGTTAGCAGATTTCTGCCCCCCGCCAGAGCAAGACTTGAAGTCAAAATATCCCACTTTAGAAACGAGTACAAAAAGTCCTCCTAGACACCTGTCTGCAGCTTGCTCCGTGCCTTCTCTGCAAGTGTGTGACAATCTGATAGGCTCCACACAGAGGTGCAGTGTGGTAGTGAGTCAGCCCCACAAAGAGAACTCCTGTCAGGGCCACCTTTACAGCTCACTGGGTCGCAAAGGCGTGAGTGCTAAGGCTCAGCCCTACAACAGGTCCCAGTCTTCATCTTCCATTTTGATCAACAAGTCACTGGACTCCATCACCTACCCCAGTGAGGTGGGCAAGCCGCAGCCATCGCCTGTGCATCAGGGCTCCAGGAGTGGGAGCCACCAGGATTTGGTGCCAGGTGTTGCTGACCCAGGTCATCAGGGCCCTGAAAAGCACTCCGATCTCACACTCCAAGACTCACAAAAAGTTCTGGTAGTAAATCGAAATTTACCCTTAAATGCCCAAATAGCGACACAGAACTATTTTTCCAATTTCAAAGAGACTGAAGGAGATGAAGATGACTACGTGGAAATCAAGTCAGAGGAAGATGAGGTGGAGCTGGAGCTGCCTCAGAGTCACAGAAGGAAATCTGACTCCAAGACCATGGACGCTGACTTTTCTAACAGCGCCTGCAGCAGCCACACATCTTACACTCTGAATACTCCATGCACTCCAAAGGAGCCAAGAAACAGCAAGCTTGGGCTTTCACCATATCTGACGACATATAATGACTCTGACAAACTGAATGACTATCTCTGGCGGGGGCCATCACCTAGTCAACAAAATATTGTCCAGTCTCTAAGGGAAAAATTTCAGTGTCTCAGTTCAAGCAGTTTTGCCTAAAGTTCTTAACAGTGGCTGCCTGAATTAACTACTTCTTGTGCTCATAAATTACAGATACTGTACTGAGGAGGTGTTTTATTTGTCCCAGGTTAAAACGATTTTGTGATAACAGGAGGTATAAAATGTACTTTCTTTTAAAGCACAGCTTTTTGAACCAGCTGGTCATACAGCCAGGATTGTAGCAAATGTCAGCCTCTAACAGCATCTTTTTGATGTCAGTTGTCTTCATGTTATGTACATAAGTCAATCTTACTTGAAATTTTTTAGACTTTTTTAAATGTGACGACCATATTTTTTTCCATATCCTGACAATAGTGCCCATACTTCAAGAAATACAGTAATCCTCTTGTATTATCCAGAAGTCCCAAGTAGTTTTATCCTGCAATTCAGAGACAGCAAGGAGACCCTCTTCACGTGTTTTAAAAGAAAGAAAACTAACGCTGTTTAATGAATTGTGCTTATATCTGACATTTCTGTTAATTTGTGGCAAGACCCTGGGATGATTTATGCCAGAGATCTCTAATTGGGTGTAATCTCAGTGCCTGTTTTAGGATTTTTCTGCTGGTATTCCTATGTCATTTCATTTCAGTGTAGAAATTGTGTGACTAGGGAAAATTAAAATGTAGCAGGACCAATTTGCCGTAAGCAAAAATTTTACCTGACAGGGCCTGGATTGTGTGCTGCGTATCATTGTTTATATGATTTGTGGGGTGAAATGAACTGTTTCCTTCATGGCTTAATGAAAACCAAGAGCAATAAAATGCAAATTGAGTTAACCACTAGAGAAGACAGAATAACTTCTGGGAACAACTTAATTATCATATTACAGTTAAAAAGGAGGGGGGTGACAAACCAAATCACTTCACTATACCCTTATGTGTGTCCATCTCTAACAAACATCAAGTAAACCAGAAACTAAAGAAGGACAAAGCACTTTAAAGTTACCCTTTCCAGAGCAGTTTCTCATATGCACCTTCCTGAGTATTTAAACTCTGCCAATGAACCTACTAGGGAATTACTGGCCGTGGGAATGAAGAAAGAACTTATTTTCTAAAAAATACATAATGAGAGCCTTTTTTCCATTGTTTAGAGGCATATTAGAGAATAGGGTTTGGTTACTAGGTTCTGACTAAGAACATTTCTATGTTGTCATTATAGTCTTTATAAAGCATTTCTTTGTGATGTTATATATTAACCTAGCTCCTTATGGAAGGAAATAGAAGACCAAAAGGAAAACATTGTGAGTAAGAAGCAAATTCAAAGAAGCTAAAGAGAAAAATGAAGGCAGATTTTGCCACTTTATAAAAATATTCTATTAAAGTCTGCATTAGTACGTGAAGAATATTTTCTCACAGTGCCCTTTATATTCTCATTTTAAGCAGTTGTACATTGTGGCCCTTCCTCATACTCTCATTTCCATTTTACTTTCTTTTCTCTTTATTCTAATTAAAAGTCCATTAAAACAACCAGTTTCCATCTTTAAAACTACGATAATCTGTGTAGAGAAAGGAGACCAGGATTTTCATTGACAGGTAAGCAATAATATTGAATCTGTAACATCTTCCATAATCTTTTCCCTCTTTTTAAACTCTATGCCTCTTTTTCTTACCTGTAAAACATAAAATGTAACTATATTTTACAAATAGGTACTTCAGGCAGTTTTCACTTTGAATAACAAAACAGAACCCAAATTTCTTGTTCTCCGAACTAATCTCTCTTCTAGTAACTCATAAAGACAGAGGCTGAAGATGTAGCTCAGTGGTGAGCACTTGCCTGACACACCCAAGGCCCTGGCATCCATATTAAATAGAACGGCTCTGGAAGCATAGCTCCTTTTATTGCTTTTATTTAAATGTGGTATGAGTTTTCAGTATTAAGCAGCATCAGAAAAGACAGGCACCATGAGAAAGTATGTTCTTAGACTTGCTAGAGGTGTATGTACATGCATTTGTATGACCTATTAAACAAAACTACCTGACTCTTGTCCGGGCAGGCAGTTTCCATTTTCATTTTTTGGTCTGTATTACCCAAATTCTACATAGTTGATATTACTGTTGTGTCTGAGTCTCGGAAAGTACCAATTCTTCACACCAGTGTCTCCTTGTACAAACTTTGGTGTCATCCATAGGGATGTGGCCCCCTGCACAAACTCTGTGTGGTCCTTCAGGTTCTAGGACAAATCTGCAGTTTTCCAGATCACTTGTGTGGGCCAGGATGCAGATTTTGAGAGCTGTGTGTACATAAAATCATGTTTGTATGTTTCCTCAGCTATCATTTAAACACTTTTCTTTAAATAAGTTTCTTTTGGAGGTGGGATAGGGATGTATATAATTGATGGAGAAAGTTATATGTACTTAAAAGTTCTTACTGGGTTCCTGTGTGAAAATATCAATTTTTTTTTTACATACTTATTCTTTGTGGGAAAATGCATCTGGGAAGTGTAGTTTAAATACTGTATATAAGATCATGAATGTTAGTAGTACCCATTATTTAATAAAGTTTGTAAAGTGCAAAGTAAATTATAGTGTGGTTTAATGTGTTCAATCGAGAACATCAAGATTTCCAAACTATGCTTAGCTATATCAGGTTGTCTCGCCTATTGTGCAGAAAATGGTTCAGGGTAATGACGATACACTATTTCCAGTGGCCCCTGACAGACCGTGTTTTTGTGTGTGTCTTTGAATTACCTCTGAAATACTGAATTTCATGTCTGAGACAATTTTTGTTTTCTTGATAGGTTGAATTAGGTCAATCACAGAGTTACCTTTCCAAAAAAAATTGGGAGATATCCTTTTAACTATTTCATTATTAAATCAAAAAATTAACGTAAAAGTTTTTAGCATAATCTGAGGTTTATTTCATGTCACTGCACTTTTTTTTTCTTTTTTTTTTTTTTCTTTTTGCACCGGGGATCAAACTCAGGACCTTGAGCTTGTGAGGCAGGCTCCAAACCACTGAGCTAAATCCCCGGCCCCACATCACTGCACATTTTGAATTTACTTTGAGTCAGAAACTTTAGAGAGAATGAAGGCATGCTGATATAATTTGGTAAATCCATTTCCAAATACAAACATAAAACCCTATTCCATTCTAATAAAAATAGAGGTCTGGTTTACCTTACACATAGAGAAAAATAGCTTAAATTTTTTTTCTTTAGAGTATTTTAGAGTCAGGTTTCTCACCTTCACCTTGAGAAGACCTCAGTTCAGCCTTTTCTTGATGGTTTGCTATGTAAGTCATGAGTTCAGTTTAGAGAAGCCAGTAGCTATAGAAAACCTATGCTCTGTGTAAATCTGTTACATGAATTACATCCACAGGAGAAAGAAAAATCCTAAAATGTCAATTAAGTTGTCTTTTGATGTAAAAACATGTTAAACCTCGGGCTCAGGATTTAGCTCAGTGGTTCTACGGCCTGCCTCACAAGCACAAGGACCTCAGTTTGATCCCTGGTCCCCAGTACCAAAAAGAAAAGTTAAATCTCTTACTTTGAAGAGCAGGTGTTGACAATGCTTCCAGAGCTCTCATGCTCTGTCTGCTGCATCACTGTCTCTAGCATGATAACTATGCTCAATTTTTTCACCCAGAAAGGGATTACAGTGAAATAAACTGTTTTCACTTTTTTTGTTGTTGTTGTTGCTGATTTACATGTGTTGATATGCATTTTACTTTATATCTTGTCCTGTGGAACAGATCTGTATAATTGTAAACTAATAAAATCTGGATGTTTGGTTTATAGCATACCTGAAAGATCTTCTGTAGGAGATCAAATTTGCTTTTCAGAAGAATGTTCTAAAATGTGTGCTACAGTTCTCTGATTTGACTCACTGAAATGGAAATGCTTTTCTCGACTCTGCACAGTGCCAAGCAATTCCTAGGTGTCCAATATATAATGACTGAAGAAATAAGAGTTAAAAACTTGTTTGAGCCCCCAAAACATATTCAAATCAGAGACACAGGGAGGAAAGTTAGGAGAACAGCAACTAAGTGGCTTTTAAAAATTCATAGTACCAGGGGTGGTGGGGAATGAGATAAAATAAAAATTTATTTTTTAAAAAATTCACAGTACCCTCAGAAATACAATGTCATCTGTCATCTAACTTTGGATAGTGTCCTATAGGATAGATCAAAAGAAAGTGGGTTGGGGGGATGGTTTTGTTGTTTTGTTTGTTTTTTTGTTTGGGTACCAGGAATCGAACTTGGGACCTTGTGCCTGTGAGGCAGGCGGTGGAATCACTGAGCTAAATCCCCAGCCCTGTTTGTTGTTTGTTTCTTTGTTTTGTTTTGTTTTTGAGCCAGGGCTTCATCATGTAGTTCAGGCTAGTCTTGAACTCACTATGTAGTCCAGGCTGGCCTTGAACTCAGAGCAATCTTCTTGCTTTAGCCTACTGAATGCTGGGATTTTAAATTTGTGCCACCACACCTGGTTAGGAAAGTGGCATTTTAAAAAGGCTTTTTTGCTTTCACCTCTCTTGGATGATAGAATCCTGGAGACACCTACTCGGCAGAGTCCCAGTAACTTTTAAGCCAAGTCTCATGGGCACAGGAAGTAGAATTCTCAGAGCCTCCTCAGACTTGTGCCAAATGCCCTCCTTCCATATCTTTGCTTCTGAGTCTGTGTGGAGAGGACAGAGCACCCTGGATGCAGGTGTGGGCGTGAAGTCAGGTGAGGGGGAGGGAAAGGGCACAGAACACTGAGCCAAAAGAAAAGCTGCCTTGCTTCACCGTGGTGGTGCGTGCCCCTGAGCAGAGTTTACTGTGTGATTTATGACAAGCACCAAACCTCGGTTTTCCTGACCATGGCTTATTCATGATCATACAATGAGGAAGGACTATAAGCTCTAACACTACTTTGCTGAACATGAAAGAACAGGGCTTGATCAGAACCTCTGCTCCCCGGGTCAGCGCCAAGCTCCCAAATGTCTTCCTAACAACTTCTGGCTCTCTCTCTACCTGGGTCTCATGGGACCACCCAGCAAGACCATGTGTAAGCAGATTCCTCCTCTGGGCCAGTTAAATCAGAGGCTTTAAACTACTGGCCCAAGGACTGAAGCTGACTTAGGCAATTTTTTAAAGGTTAAAAAATAAAAATCCAAATCTCCAGCTTCTTTAAAAGTAACAGGGAAATATGAGGCTTATTTGAGGCTGGATTCCAGCGAGAACAAAGTCCAACAAGGGGACCCCTAAAAGTGGTGGCTTCCCTTGATGTTTTGGGGAATCTGTTCCTTTGTTTTCCATTACAGGTTTGATCAGCTGATTTAAAGCAACCCTGGAGTCCTTAGACACAGATGCCAGAGAGAAAGTAAAGGCTATCTTCTTAAGAGAAAATGAATGCTAGCCGCAAAAAGTGTACAGAACACGTGGCTTCTTCAGGGGAATTTTCCCCATGAGCCACTCACTTGTGAATATTATCTGCCTGGCCTCTGAAGACTCCATAGACTGCATGATATGAGACATGATTTCCCACTCCATTCCTTCACTGTTACAGAATCACATAAGGCTTAAACTACCATTTATTTCTATTCTGTTTCTTAAAACCATCTCCAGCCCAGACTTCCCTGCTGAGTGCCAGGAGGATTTTTCCCTCAGGACGTTTCCACCCGAGTTGTCCAAAACTGATGTCATTTCCTCCAACCCAGTGCATGGCCCTGGGGCTCCTCCTCAGTATGCAGAATCACACGTCCAGACCCAAGCAGCATAAAATCTTCCACCCAGCCTTCCACTGTCTGCCTTGCCTGGGGTGTTGTCCCTCTGCTGTCCAGCAGAAAACCTGCTCTCAGCCCTCAACACACAGCTCAGAAACCACTGCTTTAGAGCTGTGAAGGAATTTTATGTGCCTGTGCACTAGTGAGTTAGCCCACCTCAGTTTCAGAGACACTGGCAAAAGATACAAGACTCCTCAATCAGAGATCAAAAGCATGATTCCAGCCGGGCAGGCAGTATGAGCTTCACATTCACAGTCTGGGTGCAGTGCAATGTGTTTGATCCAAACCCCAGTCTCAAAGGGGCAACTGGCAAACCTCCCCTCATATGCACTGCTGCATGGAAGTCTGTGCCACTGGAATGCAAGTTGTTGTGCCAGCTGGCGACTATCACCTCCTGGATCTTATGCCAATCGCGCTGCGGGTGAAGGTGTTGGCCACGGCGGCTTCGCCTCACCCCGCCCCCATCCACCACCGCTGTCCCGAGTAGCCTGTGTGCTTTGGTGGCTGACCCACCCGACACCCCCGCTCTCTGTTCCTTCACTTGCTCACCACAGTGACCTTCATCTCCATTCACTCGGACTACTGTACAGAGTTCAGATGCAAATAACAGAAACCACTTCTAGCGCACTTGCGTCATCGAAGTATCCTTTTTTCTCCTTCCTTCCTCCTTCTCCTCTTTACTCTCTGGTAAAATATGCATAACACAAACTTACTATCTTAGCCAGTAAGTGCGCAGTTCGGAGGCATTAGTGCATTCCCACTGCTGAGCAACCACGGCCGCCATCCTTCCCCTGCGCTCTTTCGTCTTGCAAAGCTGGAACTCTTGTCCACGAGCAGCTCCTCCCTGTCCTCCCTACTCCCCAGCCCGGGCCCCTCCACTCTTCTCTGTCTCCACGACTGGCACTGCTCGGTTCATATTCAAAGGCACCGCATCTAGGTGGAACCATGTTTCTCTTTAACCCTATAAATGTCCTCCTAAATACCTCTTTATTTAGTACATTGTGTTTTCGTTTTCATTGTATTTTCCAATTTCCTTTTAGATCTCCTCATTGAACCATGGGTTACTTAGAAATGCTATTTCATTTTCAAATAGTTGGGGTTTTTTTCTAGCTATCTTTCTGTTACTGATTTCTAGCTTAATTCCATTGTTGTCAGAGAACAGACCTTGTCTGAACTGAATCCTTTCAGATTTGTTAGGGTTTCTTTTATGACCTAGAAGAGACTCTATCTTGGCAAATGCTCCCACTTGGAAACTGTATCTTACTGTTTTGTGGTACAGCGATTGCTAAAGGACTTCCCTATCACTACTGATTTTTCTGTCTAGTTCTATAAATTACAGAGAGGAATACTGAAGTCTGACTGTAATTGTGGATTTGTCCATTTCTTCTTGTATTTGTTTCATTTTTGCTGCACTGACTTTAGCAAATTTAAGCATAAAAATTACCAATTAATAAAAATTAATTTAAAAAGTAGTACTAATAAAATTATTGGAAGAATACATGTTAACTCATAGAACTGATAGGAATTCCAGACAGCAGTCCCAAAACAGGAAAAGGCTGGGAAAAACTAAAGATAAATTTCATATTCTGGACTTGTTACTTTATGAAGTAAAAAAAAAAAAATTCTCTCAGCCACTGTAAGTCAGGTTTCTTGGTTGCTTGTAGTAAACACATATCTAATTAATATATTGTCAATGTTCCTCTTCTTAGTTTTCTCTGTCCCTTTGTCTTCCTCTAACTTGGTTGCTTAGTAAACACATATCTAATTAATATATTGTCAATGTTCCTCTTCTTAGTTTTCTCTGTCCCTTTGTCTTCCTCTACTTGCTTGCTGATTGACTGATTGACTGACCGCACTAGAGATTAAACCCAAGGACTTTGCGCCAAGCTACTTCCCATTCCTTTTTTTTATTTTTTATTTTTGAGACAGGGTCTCTCACCATGTCACTAAATTAG